TTAGTCCATTTCAGACCCCCAAACATACACGTACAAACGCACTTACATAAATACACTTACATAATTGGTCGCATTTGGAGGTGATCGTTAAGCGGGGGTCCACTGTATATATATATATATATATACAGTGGACCCACGGTTAACGATATTTTTTCACTCCAGAAGTATGTTCAGGTGCCAGTACTGACCGAATTTGTTCCCATAAGGAATATCATGAAGTAGATTAGTCCATTTCAGACCCCCAAACATACACGTACAAACGCACTTACATAAATACACTTACATAATTGGTCGCATTCAGAGGTAATCGTTATGTGGGGGTCCACTGTATATATTATATTATATATATATATATATATTATATAATATTATATATATATATATTATATATATATATATTATATATACTTTATATATATATATATATACATTATATATATATACATATATACATTTATATATATATATATATATATATATATATATATATATATATATATATATATATATATATATATTATATATATAATGTTGAATGATCAGTTATGGAAGGAGAAAAGAGAATATGAATGTGTAAATTCAAGAATTATGTGGATTAAAGTAAAGGTTGGATGCGAGAAGTGGGTCATAATAAGCGTGTATGCACCTGGAGAAGAGAGGAATGCAGAGGAGAGAGAGAGATTTTGGGAGATGTTAAGTGAATGTATAGGAGCCTTTGAACCAAGTGAGAGAGTAATTGTGGTAGGGGACCTGAATGCTAAAGTAGGAGAAACTTTTAGAGAGGGTGTGGTAGGTAAGTTTGGGGTGCCAGGTGTAAATGATAATGGGAGCCCTTTGATTGAACTTTGTATAGAAAGGGGTTTAGTTATAGGTAATACATATTTTAAGAAAAAGAGGATAAATAAGTATACAAGATATGATGTAGGGCGAAATGACAGTAGTTTGTTGGATTATGTATTGGTAGATAAAAGACTGTTGAGTAGACTTCAGGATGTACGTACATGTTTATAGAGGGGCCACAGATATATCAGATCACTTTCTAGTTGTAGCTACACTGAGAGTAAAAGGTAGATGGGATACAAGGAGAATAGAAGTATCAGGGAAGAGAGAGGTGAAGGTTTATAAACTAAAAGAGGAGGCAGTTAGGGTAAGATATAAACAGCTATTGGAGGATAGATGGGCTAATGAGAGCATAGGCAATGGGGTCGAAGAGGTATGGGGTAGGTTTAAAAATGTAGTGTTAGAGTGTTCAGCAGAAGTTTGTGGTTACAAGAAAGTGGGTGCGGGAGGAAGAGGAGCGATTGGTTGAATGATGATGTAAAGAGAGTAGTAAGGAGAAAAAGTTAGCATATGAGAAGTTTTTACAAAGTAGAAGTGATGCAAGGAGGGAAGAGTATATGGAGAAAAAGAGAGAGGTTAAGAGAGTGGTGAAGCAATGTAAAAAGAGAGCAAATGAGAGAGTGGGTGAGATGTTATCAACAAATTTTGTTGAAAATAAGAAAAAGTTTTGGAGTGAGATTAACAAGTTAAGAAAGCCTAGAGAACAAATGGATTTGTCAGTTAAAAATAGGAGAGGAGAGTTATTAAATGGAGAGTTAGAGGTATTGGGAAGATGGAGGGAATATTTTGAGGAATTGTTTAAATGTTGATGAAGATAGGGAAGCTGTGATTTCGTGTATAGGACAAGGGTGGAATAACATCTTGTAGGAGTGAGGAAGAGCCAGTTGTGAGTGTGGGGGAAGTTCGTGAGGCCAGTAGGTAAAATGAAAGGGGGTAAGGCAGCCGGGATTGATGGGATAAAGATAGAAATGTTAAAAGCAGGTGGGGATATAGTTTTGGAGTGGTTGGTGCAATTATTTAATAAATGTATGGAAGAGGGTAAGGTACCTAGGGATTGGCAGAGAGCATGCATAGTTCCTTTGTATAAAGGCAAAGGGGATAAAAGAGAGTGCAAAAATTATAGGGGGATAAGTCTGCTGAGTATACCTGGTAAAGTGTATGGTAGAGTTATTATTGAAAGAATTAAGAGTAAGACAGAGAATAGGATAGCAGATGAACAAGGAGGCTTTAGGAAAGGTAGGGGGTGTGTGAACCAGGTGTTTACAGTGAAACATATAAGTGAACAGTATTTAGATAAGGCTAAAGAGGTCTTTGTGGCATTTATGGATTTGGAAAAGGCGTATGACAGGGTGGATAGGGGGCAATGTGGCAGATGTTGCAAGTGTATGGTGTGGGAGGTAGGTTACTGAAAGCAGTGAAGAGTTTTTACGAGGATAGTGAGGCTCAAGTTAGAGTATGTAGGAAAGAGGGAAATTTTTTTCCCAGTAAAAGTAGGCCTTAGACAAGGATGTGTGATGTCACCGTGGTTGTTTAATATATTTATAGATGGGGTTGTAAGAGAAGTAAATGCGAGGGTCTTGGCAAGAGGCGTGGAGTTAAAAGATAAAGAATCACACACAAAGTGGGAGTTGTCACAGCTGCTCTTTGCTGATGACACTGTGCTCTTGGGAGATTCTGAAGAGAAGTTGCAGAGATTGGTGGATGAATTTGGTAGGGTGTGCAAAAGAGAAAATTAAAGGTGAATACAGGAAAGAGTAAGGTTATGAGGATAACAAAAAGATTAGGTGATGAAAGATTGAATATCAGATTGGAGGGAGAGAGTATGGAGGAGGTGAATGTATTCAGATATTTGGGAGTGGACGTGTCAGCGGATGGGTCTATGAAAGATGAGGTGAATCATAGAATTGATGAGGGGAAAAGAGTGAGTGGTGCACTTAGGAGTCTGTGGAGACAAAGAACTTTGTCCTTGGAGGCAAAGAGGGGAATGTATGAGAGTATAGTTTTACCAATGCTCTTATATGGGTGTGAAGTATGGGTGATGAATGTTGCAGCGAGGAAAAGGCTGGAGGCAGTGGAGATGTCATGTCTGAGGACAATGTGTGATGTGAATATAATGCAGAGAATTCGTAGTTTGGAAGTTAGGAGGAGGTGCAGGATTACCAAAACTGTTGTCCAGAGGGCTGAGGAAGGGTTGTTGAGGTGGTTCGGACATGTAGAGAGAATGGAGCGAAACAGAGTGACTTCAAGAGTGTATCAGTCTGTAGTGGAAGGAAGGCGGGGTAGGGGTCGGCCTAGGAAAGGTTGGAGGGAGGGGGTAAAGGAGGTTTTGTGTGTGAGGGGCTTGGACTTCCAGCAGGCATGCGTGAGCGTGTTTGATAGGAGTGAATGGAGACAAATGGTTTTTAATACTTGACGTGCTGTTGGAGTGTGAGCAAAGTAACATTTATGAAGGGGTTCAGGGAAACCGGCAGGCCGGACTTGAGTCCTGGAGATGGGAAGTACAGTGCCTGCACTCTGAAGGAGGGGTGTTAATGTTGCAGTTTAAAAACTGTAGTGTAAAGCACCCTTCTGGCAAGACAGTGATGGAGTGAATGATGGTGAAAGTTTTTCTTTTTCGGGCCACCCTGCCTTGGTGGGAATCGGCCAGTGTGATAATAAAAAATATATATATATATGTCGTGCCGAATAGGCAGAACTTGCGATCTTGGCTTAAATAGCAACGCTCATCTTGCCATATAGGACAAGCGAAAATTTGTGTATGCAATAATTTCGCCAAAATCATTCTGAACCTAACGAAAAAATATTATTTCACTGTGTTTGTTTAGTACTAAATTATTGTAAACAAATCTAAAATATATTTAGTTGGGTTAGGCTAAAATAACTTGCGCTTGTTATAATAAGGTTACGTAAGTTTTCTAAGTTCCTTTTGGTACAATATTATAAATTTTTACATCAACATTAATGAAAAAAATATATCTTTAAACATATAAGGGAAAATTTTAGAAAGGACTTAATTTTAAATGAGTTCTTGCTAACTAACCAGTTTTACATATTCGGCACGACACATATATATATATATATCAATAACAACACTGTGACTGGCCAAGGAGTCGAACCCATGCTGCTTTGGCCCAAAATGCAGAGCATTTCGGGCAAACTTAAAATTACAGCATTACCTAATAGAATTGAGCATTCTATTAGGTAATGCTGTATGGCTGTAATAAGTCTAGTTGTGCAGTTCGGTGTAGAATAACTACAGTTTTGATATACGTAGTTTATGAAAAATACAGTACAGTGGACCCCCGCTTAACGATCACCTCCAAATGCGACCAATTATGTAAGTGTATTTATGTAAGTGCGTTTGTACGTGTATGTTTGGGGGTCTGAAATGGACTAATCTACTTCACAATATTCCTTATGGGAAAAAATTCGGTCAGTACTGGCACCTGAACATACTATTGGAATGAAAAAAGTTCGTTAACCGGGGGTCCACTGTATTATAATTTAGAACAAGTTAAAACAATTTACAGTATGAAGTATTACAATTTAGTACATTTGAAAACGAGATTGAAACACTTCTAAGTTTGGAGTAATGAGTAAATGGTTGAGCAATCTTCAGCAATATACAGTAATGAAATTGAAACAATTTTAAGTTCAAAGTAGATCATCAAATAGTTGGGCAGTCTTAAATTATTTAGAAACTTCAGTAACTGGTAGGTATTAAGTAAAGTATTTGTCTGGTTAATTTTGGGTGATGAGGTGATTTCTAAGTAGGGCCTTAAATTGATTTGCAGGCAGGGGTCCTTAGTGTGTTCTGACAATGAATTCCAGATCTTCAGGCCCTTTATGTGCATAACACTGTTGCATTGGGAGAGATGGACATGTGGGATATTGAAGAGTGATTTGAGTCTTGTATTAGGCTGTGTGTTCTTGGAATTAGTAGCCATTTACCAGCATTATATTCATGTATGCTAAACCCACGTGGACCATGCAGGCGTGTAGTATTCATCAACTTGCATACCATTTATAACAAGTTTATTTAGGCACAGGTACACGTAAGTATAATTATCAGAATGTAAATTACCTGGGATAACCTGAAAAAAGTCAAAGTGACTTATTTCCATTGGGACCTTTGTAACATGTGTGTGTCCCTTCTGCAGGAGATCTGTCTGGTGGTGTTCTTCGGCGTGGAGTACGCAGTACGGATGTGGGCTGCTGGCTGCCGTTCCAAGTACATGGGCTTCTTCGGCAGGATACGTTTTATAAGGAAACCAATTTGTATTATAGGCGAGTCTTACAATTTATTTGGGAAGGAGGGGAGTAGGATTCTGGGAGTTTGTTTTGTAAGTAGTCTGGGCAAGCTTATTGTATTTTAAGGTGGGTTATACACTGTATTTTTGGGGATGACTACCAAGTGTATTATGTGAACTTTATAGTGTATGTTGACTGATATGACCTTTCTCCTTCACTGCCCCCTTCAGTAATATATATATATATATACACACACACACACACACACACACACACACACACACACACACACACACACAGTATATACTATTAGTGAACATTAACTTAGCCAATCATTTCCCTCTTAATTTCATTTGAAGTTTGTATACATTCTGCCGCATTCCAATTTCACATGATATCACCAGTGTGTAGCATCAAATTGCCAATAGTATTGATGTGTGTATTGCGTGGAGGAGCGGGAAGTCCGTGACAGTTTGGATGTTGAATAGGTCATAGGTCACAGCACATGTTCTCATACCTAACCTAACCTGATTCCCTCTCTCCCTTATCCCCAAGTGCCATGACTCTGCAGTTATCTGTCATTCATAATTACACATGACTTGTACTATTGGTCAATGCCAATTAGATATGTGATATTTTTATGCAAGAGGGAGAGGAAGGGGAGAGAGGAGAGTAAACACTCATTACTAATGTAATTGCTGCCTACCTAACAGAATATTGGGGCTCAGTCCCTGGACTCATTGTGCCAGTGTAATCTTGTGAGTACTATACTACCCAGAGGATGTTCCTAGGGTGCATAATAAAACTGTCAAGTAAAAATGATCACTAACAACATAAATCACCACCACCATCCACAATCAGCTGTCAGATTAATGCCAGTATAAATCACCAATTACCAAACACAACTAATTTTATTTCCTTCCTTCTACAGATCTAATAGTAGTGGTAGCATCGATAGTGGTTCTATGTGTGGGATCCAATGGTCAGGTGTTTGCCACATCTGCCATTAGAGGGATCCGCTTCCTGCAGATCTTGCGTATGCTGCATGTTGACAGGCAGGGAGGTACATGGAGACTACTGGGCTCCGTGGTCTTCATACATAGACAAGTAAGCTGTGTTCTGAGTCAAGACTGTTTTATCATAGTTAAAAATTTGTTTGGGAAAACTCAGCAAACAAAATGGAGCAGCCCTCCCCTCTTTATATTACTGTATCTACTGTACAGTATTTTATTAAGAAATTAACCAGTTATATGCTACTTTAAGTACAATGAAAGTAACAGCCTCTTGGCTTAGTAGAGAGAAATCTCAAGTTTTCTACTTTAAATTAAGAACAGCAGCAAAATAATTCTTATAATATCCGTCATATTCCTTTTTAATAGTAATGTAATAATAGAAATCTCTCTGATAATTCAAAATGAAATTAAGCAAATATGTATTTCCCTGTTTATACAATACCAACAAATAGCACAAGAATACTGAGAAAATTTAGGACTCACTTTTAGGCTGCAATTGAATAAAGAATTTTGATTTCTGAACTCGGATACTGACATATCAGATTTCCCATGGAGAATCAGCTTAAAGATAGCTTAAGAGTTCACAGGGATATTGCTTTTCAAGCTTTACATAATTTCTGGTTTTTGTGAAAGAATGTACCAGGAGACTTCACTGTTACTCATACAAGATATAAGAATCAACTTGAAGTACTGTATACATTATGGTGAACGATTCCTGTTAGCTTCTTTTATTACACAGTGATTTAGTATTGTATATTCTAAATGTCAGTGACTGTGACTGACAGATTGAAACCTTGTTTGATTCAGCTAATACATCCTTCGTAAACAATGAATATTCATTTTATTGTGGCAACATTTCGCTCTCCAGGAGCTTGACAACGCTCCTGGAGAGTGAAACATTGCCACAGTGAATATTCGTAGGCCTTTCTATTGATCTAAGAAAAACTTTTGATGCACTAGATCACAGCATCCTACTTTTTAAACTCAAACGTTATGGAATAAAAGACTCTCCTAAATAATAATGTACAGTATTACCTCAGTGACAGACTCCAACACCTGACCATAAACAACTTCATCTGCTCAACCCATCAAAATAGGGATGCTGCAAGGAAGCATCCTAGGACCACTTTATTTCTCCTTTGCATCAACTTTGCTTAACTTGAACAATGTAATTAGTGTTGAACCAGAAAAAGTTATCAGCTTGGAGAGAAACAAATAAATTAATGATATAAGTATAATAGTCCTAGGTAGTAGGTTGGTAAACAGCAACCGCCCAGGGAGGTACTACCATCCTGCCAAGCGAGTCTAAAACAAAAGCCTGTGTAATTGTTTTACATGATGGTAGGATTGCTGGTGTCCTTCATTCTGTCTCATGAACATGCAAGATTTCAGGTACGTCTTGCTACTTCTACTTATACTTAGGTCACACTACACATACATGTACAAGCATATATATACACACCCCTCTGGGGTTTCTTCTATTTTCTTTCTAGTTCTTGTTCTTGTTTATTTCCTCTTATCTCCATGGGGAAGTGGAACAGAATTCTTCCTCCGTAAGCCATGCGTGTTGTAAGAGGCGACTAAAATGCCAGGAGCAAGGGGCTAGTAACCCCTTCTCCTGTATATATACTGTATTACTAAATGTAAAAGGAGAAACTTTCGTTTTTTCTTTTGGGCCACCCCACTTCGGTGGGATACGGCCGGTGTGTTGAAAGAAAGAAGAAATATAATAGTCTTCTTTCAACGCACCAGCCGTATCCCACTGAGGTGGGGTGGCCCAAAAAGAAAAACAAAAGTTTCTCGTTTTAAATTTAGTAATAGTATATACAGGAGAAGGGGTTACTAGCCCCTTGCTCCTGGCATTTTAGTCGCCTCTTACAACACGCATGGCTTACGGAGGAAGAATTCTGTTCCACTTCCCCATGGAGATAAGAGGAAATAAACAAGAACAAGAACTAGAAAGAAAATAGAAGAAAACCCAGAGGGGTGTGTATATATATGCTTGTACATGTATGTGTAGTGTGACCTAAGTGTAAGTAGAAGCAGCAAGACGTACTTGAAATCTTGCATGTTTATGAGACAGACAAAAAACACCAGCAATCCTACCATCATGTAAAACAATTACAGGCTTTCGTTTTACACTCACTTGGCAGGATGGTAGTACCTCCCTGGGCGGTTGCTATCTACCAACCTACTACCTAGGAAGTATAATAGTATAGTATAATAATAAGATATTAAAAGGACCCCAATGGAAATAAGTCACTTTGACTTTTTGGGGTTATCCTAGGTTCTCTATACATATGCTGCTATGTATGATAATCTATGTAACTGTACTTGTGTATACCTGAATAAACTTACTAATTTAGATCTACTGTACAATATAGAGTTCAAGAATAAAGCCAAATATGCTCAGCTAGGTACAAAGATAAATATCACAAAATTGACAGACAAGATGAGGTGAAAATTCTTGTATATTCACATAGACAGATACTGTAAGTGGTTTTTATGGCTTCATGTGCTGTTAAGTGTGAGCAAGGTAACATTTATAAAGTGATTTAGGGAAAACCAGTTAATTGGACTTGGGTTATGGAGGTGGGAGGTACAATGCTAGCACTCTGAAGGAGGGGTGAGTGATGTCTGTGTACATACAGCCTATAGACTCTTTCTTCCTTTCAACACATCGGCCGTATCCCACCGAGGCGGGGTGGCTCAAAAGGAAAAACGAAAGTAGCCTATAGACATGGCCAACAAACTTAATTAATATCTTCTTCTCTACTGTAGGATCAAAGCTAGCAAGCAAAATTCCAAGCTCAAATACTCAGCTGAAATACTACCACACTGGCAACTACCCAAATACTCTATATCTAGCTCCAACTAATTCTACTGAACTCTCGCTCATCATTAAATCATTAAAAAACAAAGCAGGAGATCAAAATAATTTGCCACCATTCATATATAAAAAAGCAGCTCATGTTCTATCACCCATTATTGCAACACTGTTTAATAAATCTGTTGAGTCCTCAACCTTCCCATCCATACTCAAGACAGCAAGGGTTACCCTGATCCTCAGAGGAGGTGATCCAACTGATCTGAACAACTATAACCCTATATCAAACTTGCCCTTACTTTCTAAAATATTCGAAAAATAATACACAAATGACTTTACTCCTACCTCATATCTAACAACATCCTTAACCCTTTCAGGGTTTCCGACGTACTAGTACGGCTTACACACCAGGGTCGACGTACTAGAACGCCTAAATTCTAGTGCCTTCAAATCTAGAGAAAGCTGGTAGGCCTACATATGAAAGAATGGGTCTATGTGGTCAGTGTGCACAGTATGAAAAAAATTCTGCAGCACACAGTGCATAATGAGAAAAAAAAAACTCCGACTATGTTTTTGGTTTAAAACAGCGACTTTGCAGTGTATTTTCGTATGGTATTTATTCTAGTTTTCCTGGTCTTATTTTATAGAATGGAAGACATATTACAGAAATTGAGATGATTTTGATTGGTTTCATAATGAAAACTACCTTGAAATTGAGCTCAAAGTAGCAGAAATGTTCGATTTTTACCAAATTTCAAAAGTAAACATATCATGCTAAGCGTCCAATACACGTCAACTGGTGAGTCTAATATTCTTTCACAAGTGCACTGATATTATTTATACCATTTCTACACTAATGCAGTAGTCTGCATATCAGTAAATCTTCTATTATTTGTGAGAATAAAAATTCAAAGTGGAAAGCAAAAGAGATGTAAGAGGGGCGTGGGGACATGACTAATGAACAGAAAAAATGTTATTTTAGTGCCAGGAATATCTGTCTTGTTTATTCTGGACCCTATTTTGAAATTGGCATCTTCTGAAATTTGTGTGAAATTGGCAAAATTGCCAATTTCTGACCACTTTATTGGATTCTTGAAATCGGTAAATGGGTGGTTTCTTGTACTCATTCAATGAAAAAATGGAGTTCTAGTGAAATAGATATGATTTTTGTCGACTAGTACACTGAAATTGGCTGAAAATAGGGCTCAAATTGGGCAAAAATCGCTGATGTGTAAACTTCATCGAGACTGCTAACTTTGCGAGTGCATAATTCCGTAAGTTTTCCATCAAATTTCATACTTTTGGTGCCATTATGATTGGGAAAAGATTCTCTATCATTTCATAAGAAAAATAATTTTTTTTTTTTTCTGAAAAATTTTTGACCCTGAGAACGAGTTTAGGAGAGGGCTATTATACAAATGCTAGAACTAATATATACAGCCCTCGATAAAAATGAATATCCACTGGGGCTCTTCATTGACTTACAGAAAGCATTTGATACAGTGGACCACAATCTCCTGCACCTAAAACTAAACCATTATGGCATAAGAGGACATTCCCTCGTTTACCTAAAATCTTACCTTAACAATAGACACCAGTATGTATGCGCAAATGAAGTCAACTCCACTATCCAGCCTGTAGCTGTTGAAGTGCCCCAGGGTAGTGTCCTAGGCCCACTCCTCTTTCTCATCTACGTCAGTGATCTCCCCAATGCATCTCAACTCCTTAAACCAGTTTTATTCACAGAAGACACTACTTGTGTCTACTCCCACTCAAACCCAGCTATACATAGAGGCACCACAAACAACGAGCTATTAATAATATATACTTGGATGATGACCAACACACTCACTCTCAACATAGACAAAACATACTGCATGCTATTTGCAAACAGAGCCTTAAATATCCAACTTAATATATTGATAAATGGTTCCACCATTACAAGACACACTGAGGGTAAATTTCTAGGTCTTCACCTTGACTGTACAGTGGAACCTCGGTTTTCATTGAATTCAATTTTAGAAGACTTTTTTCATCAAAATTTTGTCCAAGTTTTCATTCTTCACCTCTGTTTTCGTCGGTCCGCCATACCAAATGTGTTTGCCTGCCTGCACCCACACAAAGCATCCCACTCATTCTGAGTCAGTCTGGCTTTGTTTCTCATCGAGTGAACATTACCCTGTGCGTTCATCTGCAACATTTCATAATAATCCATTGTCTTTTTGTGCTTGTTTATTGAGTTCGACTACTAAATAAGCCACCATAGGGCTAAAGAAAGTTCTGAGTGCCAGCCCTTTGATAAAGAGTGAGAAACATGATAGAATTCAAGAAAGAACTTGTAGCAGAGTACGGGGTTTTATGTGAGTGGCCAGGATGTGGCAGAGTTGGTGGACAACCACAGGGAAGAGCTAACCACTGAAGAGCTGCAATACCTTCAACTGAAACAGCAACAGATTGCAGCCGAGGAAATTGCTTCAGAGGAGGAGGAAGAGACAGGGAAGAATGTGCCTTCTTCAGTGATTAAGGATGTGTGTGCAAAGTGGAGTGAGTTGCAAAGTTTTGTGGAGAAATATCACCCTAACAAAGCTGTTGCAAGCCGTGCCTGCAACATGTTCAATGACAGTGCCTTGTCCCATTTTAGGCAAATCTTAGAGAGATGCCAGAAATAGACCTCTCCAGACAGATTTTTTGTGTGACAGGGGCCCATTGCCAGTTAAAGACAAAGAAGGGAAGTAACCCCGGATAGGGTCTTGATGCCTGAAGCCCTAATGGAGGGGGATTCCCCTTCCAACCAGTAACCTCTCCTCCTCCCTCTTCTCTCCTCACGTCTTTCATACGCCAACAATAGTCTTCAATAAAGGTAAAAGTGATACTAAATGTTCATTTATCCATTTCATTAGTCCTTTATATTTATTTCTCATTGTTTTCTGTATGTAAAACTATAGTTATTCTCTATAAAATGTATTTTTTGTTAATACTTTTGGGTATCTGGAACAGATTAATTGGATTTACATTATTTCTTGTGGGAAATATTGCTTCAGTTTTCATCGAATTCGGTTTTCATCAGACTTTCTGAAATGAATTAATGACGAAAACCGAGATTCCACTGTAATCTTAAATTTCATTCCCACATCCAGCATATATCCAAGAAAATTTCCAGATCAGTAGGCATTTCCAAGATATGGTACTATGTGCCCCAAATGACACTCCTTACCCTATGCCACTCTTTAATATATCCCTACCTCACCTATGGTATATGTGCCTGGGGATCAACCACAGCCAACCACCTTAAACCTTCAATAACCCAACAAAAAGCTGTTGTGTGGATGATTACTAACTCCTGTGCCAGACAGCACACCCCACCACTTTTCAAAAGCCTGAACCTTCTAAATGTACGAGACATACACTCATACTGTGCCTGCTATATATACAGAACATCAAACTCCAATGTAAACTCTCTGCTTAAACTTCTCCACGATAGCTACAATGAATGCACAATCACAATACAAGGCACAAGGCATTCTTTGACATCCTGCATGTCAGTCTCACACAATGCAAAAATGCAATGCACATAAAGGGCCCGAAGATCTGGAATTCACTACCTACCCGAAATGCCAAGGCATATGTAGGCACACTAGTGGCCTTCTTTGTAATAAATATTTTATAATATGCAATAATATTTTATATGTAAACCCCACATTGTAAAATATCTAGGAATCACCTTTGACCCATGCATGTCAGGAGAATTGGTAGGGATCAGTGTGGTAAAGAAAGCGAATGCCAGACTGAAATTCCTCTATAGACAAGCACAGTGTCTACCTACTGAGGCTCGCAGGACCCTATGTCTAGCCTTTATACAGTGTCATATGGATTACACTTGCTCTTCATGGTACTCTGCCTTGACAAAAAAACTGAAAGATAGACTGCAAATCACCCAGAACAAAATAGTAAGATTCATCTTGGACCTGGGTCCAAGAGAGCATGTAGGCCAGGATGAATTACAGCAGTTAGATATGCTGAATGTTGAAGAAAGAGTAAAACAACTGAAGCTAAATCATGTTTATAAAATTGCTCACAGTGTCCAGAATATCTTGCTGTCAATTTTGTCAAGGTTGGGAACCAAAGCAATCATAGTACTAGGGGGGGAGAGCACAACTTTGTAGTACCCACAGTCAGTGGCCAGGCTTCAAACACCTTTTATTGTACAGCAGTAAAGGAATGGAACAGACTGCCTGCACATGTCAAAGCCAGTCATAGCATGAACCAGTTCAAGAAGAGTGCCAAAAGGTGTCTGATGAATGTAGCTACAGAAAGGGAGGGGAATGATTTTTTATTTTTTTTTTAGCTAACACACGTGTAATTTTACCGTATTCCCAGTAATGACCCTCGTATTGTAGATAGTTTTAGTGACCCTCGTGTAATAGATAGTCTTTTTAGTATGATAATAAGATGTTATTTCCATTATAGAATAATAATAAGACATTATAATCTTTATATTATAATAATAAGGTAAAAGGACCCCAATGGAAATAAGTCACTCTGTCTGACTTTTTTGGGTTATCCCAGGTTCTCTACACATATGCTGCTATGTATGATAATTTATGTAACTGTATTTGTGTATACCTGAATTAACTTACTTACTTACTAACAGAGAAATAAGGAATTTTATTTTTAATTTAATTAAATTTTACAAATTTAGGGCTATGCTTAAAAGTCATCTCATCTCTCGATACTAACCAAATCAACCAGAACAACTTCTAATCAGTTTGAAGCAACTCTCCCAAATATTATATTATATATGGCCTCTAGTCTATTAAAATATCTGTCAATCCATAAAATATTACTGTTTGAACCATTAATTGTAATATTGTTGTTATGTGCAACTTCAAGATTATTATTCTTACAAACCTTCACCCTCACTACCTCACATTAGTATTAAGATAAAATAAAGATTTATTAAAAAGTTAACCATTCTTATCTTGTCTAGATTAAAGTAGTTATCATGTACTACGATTAGTTTGCCTGAAATGCCCCGGCATGACAGTGGCTTTCTTTGTACTTAACAAATCAAAATTGTAATAACACATTGTAACCTTTGCAAAGAAATAAAATCTTTAATATTTAATCTTTGCTGCTGGCGAGACAGCTATTGAATGAATGATGGCGAGTGTTAACTTTTTTTTGGGTCACCCTACCTCTGTGAGAGATGGCTGGTGTTAAATGTCCTATAACTCACCTAATACCAGCTACAGTGTATTTACAGAAATAATGAAACACCAGAGAATAAATTATATCAGATGATGTATTTGTTGTGTAATATCAAATTACATAAAAAATCTGATACCAGATATCAAATATTTTTTAAATCTTACAACCCATGCTTACTAAAAAGGTAAATACTGGACATAACACTTCTTTAAACACCAGCAAAGGTTCTAGTTCTTTTAAAATGAAATGGAATAGCAACACACCTGTTGTCTCCCCACAGGGCAGAATGACCCAAAGAAGAGAAGAAATGCATTTTCCATTCATTCAGTAGCTGTCTCACCACAAGCATGCTGATCTCACAGTTCAGATGACCTTCCAAACTACAGCATCCCCACTCCTTCTTTCAGAATGCGAGTACTGTTCTTCCCACCTCCAGAATTCACGTCCAGCTAACCGATTTCCCTGAATTCTTTCAAAAACATTACCCTGCTAAACACTCCAAAAATTACAAAGTCAGTAGCCTCCACTGTACTGAATTTACAACCAGTAATTTATTACAGTAATGACATTATGTACTTAGTGGCTGTTAAAATACACCTTTAGTTATTAAATACTTTGTCATTTAGGTTATTATACAGTACAAGAGGGCTCTGCTTATACAGCAGGTTAGGTTCTGGGCTACTGCTGTACAGCAAAAATCACTGTAGAGTGAATCATGGCATTTTTCACTTTCAAATGCATATAAAAGCCTGATAACATGTATTAATAGAGCTAGGCCTAAAAAATGTATATATGTACATTGCACACACTATTTACCTTAAAATATTTTTGTCCTTAACTGATAGTGAATATATTTATTGTATGAAGCCTGAATAAATGAAGAATGGGTATAATTGAAACCCACTGCATTGGCAAAATGCCATAAAGCGAAGCGTTGTAAAGCAGGGCTTTACAGAGCTTCACTGTAAAGCCCTGTTGTACAGCGATAGATACATTTGATAATTTTTTATTTTACCTTTGCATAGATCTAATATTCATTTTGTATGTCAACAGGAGTTGATAACAACTCTTTACATTGGGTTTTTGGGCCTGATATTTTCGTCCTATTTTGTGTACCTTGCGGAGAAAAAAGATGATGAAGATGAGGAAGAAGGTGATTTCTCCAGCTATGCTGATGCTTTGTGGTGGGGTGTGGTAAGTACAGTATATGTAGGAATTGTGGTAGGTAGTAGTACAGGCCAGCCATCACTAATCGGGTAATCAGTTATCCAGTTCCATCAGTAATCTGGCACTAATTTCGGCTAGCATAATTTCAAATTTCATCATTATACTGACTCAGAAATTGTGCAGATGGTTATAAAGACACAGCAGCAAACCAGTGAAGGAGAAAGCAGTGATGAAAATGAGGAAGATGTAGCAGAGTCTCTGATGATAGGTTAATTAAGTGTATTCTAACCTAACCACTCTGTAATCTGGCAAACTCAGTAATCCAGCACACTACAGGTTCCAATGATGCTGGATTAGTGATGGCCGACCTGTAGTAATAGTCTTAGCTCTAGTGGAGATTGGTATATACTGTGGTAGTAGTTGTAATCTTAGTTCTGTGGTGGGGAGTGGTATGTACTGTACACTGTAGCAGGAAATGTCATCTTAGCACCATCATGAGGAATAGTAAGTATGTGTACTGTAGTAGTCATAGTGTCAAGTGTATATACTGTAGTACTTGTAGTGCCAAGTGTGTGTACTGTAGTAGTCATAGTGTCAAGTGTATGTACTGTAGTACTTGTAGTGCCAAGTGTGTGTACTGTAGTAGTCATAGTGTCAAGTGTATGTACTGTAGTACTTGTAGTGCCAAGTGTGTGTACTGTAGTAGTCATAGTGTCAAGTGTATGTACTGTAGTACTTGTAGTGCCAAGTGTGTGTACTGTAGTAGTCATAGTGTCAAGTGTATGTACTGTAGTACTTGTAGTGCCAAGTGTGTGTACTGTAGTAGTCATGTCAGGTAAGTGTGTGTAGTCATAGTGTCAAGTATGTGTACTGTAGTAGTCAAGTAAGAATATTTGTAATCTTAGTTCCTTGTGTGTTCAATCCAGTTGACTTTAAGGGGGCTATAAAGGACCCGGTCTACCTTGATATTAACATCAAAAATACTTTAGTCATTATAATAGGGAATCACATAAAATATCAGTGTCCAGTATACACACATGTATGCTTATTTTTCAAGTACTGTACTGTACTATTATTGGTTAATTAAAATTTTGATTACCTAGCACAATTACAATATGTTAAATTTTATTTTAAAATGTATTCATGTTAAAATTTTGTTACAGAGATGCAGTAGTGACAAGCAATTGTTGAGTTAAGCTGTATTATACCACACTCAAATTTGATGTAATGAATTACACTAGTTTCAAAGAACAACTCATAGTCTGCATTGAGGGTAGGGTTTTTGACCTTGAATAATTATGACATAGCATGTTGAAAACTTAATTTTCTCTTGCAATTTTCAGATATTAACAACACTGTAATTTCACATATACAAGGTGCTATCAAAAAGTTCCTGGACTGTTGTGAAAAAAAAATAGACTGTTTAGGCTTACCTAACCTGGTTAAGGTGGTCTCCCTTGAAGTACTCTTCATGGCAGACTGTACATTGATACCAGCACCTCTGCCACATCATGAAACATTTCTGGAACTTTTCTAACAGCATCTAACACAGCCTGTGATTCCGCTTGAATCTCTTATCTTTATCTTATCTTAAAGGTAGTTAAAATGCTGCCCGTAGTGTACCATTTTTATTTTTGCGAAGAGAAAGAAGTCACAGGGGGCTAGATCTGGGGAGTAGGGGAAGGTAGGGGGACAAACACCATGTTGCTTTTGGCCAGAAAACGATGATCTTTCTGGTCTTCAGTCAGCAAGCAGGGCATTTTGCAGCCACTCACCTCATGCACTCACCACAGCACTTGCAATGTCCTGGATACTCTAATGAAAAATCTTTATGAATAACCTTCCTCACTTTTTCAATGTTGGTGTTTGTTATTGATGATGGATGACCAAGCATCTTCACCAGGTGTCAGATCAACCAGGCTGTGGTGGATATGTGGGGCAGCAGGCCTCCAGCAGCAACAGCCTGATAGACCAGAGTTTACCTGGAGAGGGTTTCGGGGGTCAACGCCCCCGCAGCTCGGTCTGAGACCAGGCCTCATGGTGGATCAGGGTCTGATCAACCGGGCTGTTACTGCCGGCTGCATGGAAACTGATGTACGAACCACAGCCCGGTTGGTCAGGTACTGACTTTAGGTGCCTGTCCAGTGCCTTCTTGAAGACAGCCAGGGGTAAGATAAGATAAGATTTCGTTCGGATTTTTAACCCCAGAGGGTTAGCCACCCAGGATAACCCAAGAAAGTCAGTGCGTCATCGAGGACTGTCTAACTTATTTCCATTGGGGTCCTTAATCTTGTCCCCCAGGATGCGACCCACACCAGTCGACTAACACCCAGGTACCTATTTGCTGCTAGGTGAACAGGACAATAGGTGTAAGGAAACGTGTCGAAATGTTTCCACCCGCCGGGAATCGAACCCGGGCCCTCCGTGTGTGAAGCGGGAGCTTTAGCCACCAGGCCACCAATTATGTACGCTAGGAGGCAGTTAAACAGTCTTGGGCCCCGGACACTTATTGTGTTGTCTCTCAAAGTACTCGTGGCGCCTCTGCTTTTCATCGGGGAATTGTTGCATCTCCTGCCGAGTCTTTTGCTTTCATAGGGAGTGATTTTTGAGTGCAGGTTTGGTACCAATCCCTCCAGGACCTTCCAAGTGTATATTATCATGTATCTCTCTCGCCTCCATTCCAGGGAATACAGATCAAGGACCTTCAACTGTTCCCAGTAATATAGGTGCTTTATCATACCTATGTGTGCTGTGAAAGTTCTTTGTACTCTCTCCAAGTCTGCAGTGTCGCCCACCTTGAAGGGGGCCATTAGTGTACAGCAGTATTCCAACCTAGAAAGAACAAGCGATTTGAAGAGTGTCATCATGGGCTTGGCATCCCTAGTTTTGAAGGTTCTCATTATCCATCCTATCATTTTCCTAGCCGATGAGGTAGATACATTGTTGTGGTCTTTGAAGGCGAGATCCTCTGACATTATCAGTCCCAGGTCTTTCACATTTCTTTTTTGCTCTATTGTATGGTTAGAATTTGTCGTATACCCTGATACATTTTTAATTTCCTCAAGTTTTCCATATCTGAGTAGTTGAAATTTCTCCTCATTGAACTTCATATTATTTTAAGTGGCCCAAAATATCGACTTGGATGACAGCCAATAAACTTACACTTAACATTGGCAAAACCTACTATATTATGTTTGGTAGCAGAGCAGGTGTTGCGCAGCTTAACATTAAGATCGACAACACTAATTGCCAGATATAATGAGGGCAAATTCCTTGGCCTATACCTCGACAACAACCTAAATTTCAGCACCCATATCCAACACATAACAAAAAAAGTATCCAAAACGGTGGGGATCCTCTCCAAGATACGATACTACGTGCCGCAAACTGCCCTTCTCACACTATACCATTCACTTATATATCCATACCTCACCTATGCTATCTGTGCTTGGGGTTCAACTGCAGCAACACACCTAAAGCCAATAATAACCCAACAAAAAGCCGCAGTAAGAATAATCACTAAATCTCATCCCTGGCAACACACCCCCCCACTCTTCATAGATCTAAACTTACTCCCTGTACAGAACTTCCACACTTACTACTGTGCAATCTATATCTACAGGACCTTAAATTCCAATATTAACCTTGACCTAAAATGCTTTCTTGATAGTTGTGACAGGATCCACAGGCATAACACCAGTCACAAACATCTCTATGACATTCCATGTGTTCGACTAAACCTTTACAAAAATTCAATGTATTTCAAAGGACCTAAAATCTGGAACACCCTACCTGAAAACTCTAGAACTGCAGACACATTCATCACTTTCAAAACTACAGTTAGAAAACATCTTATCTCCCTAATACACCCCGACAACTAACTACATGATAACCACCTGGTGGTTCACAATTACACTCACTCACCCACTGACTATAAACCCAGAAATACTAATCTTCATCTTAAAATAATAAATCCTAACTAGTCATAAGTTTGCCTATGATACTCCAATATAGACACTTTGTATTATGCCAAAACAAAAGAATTCACATTGCTAAACTCACAAATTATGATGTAGGCACTTAGCCTTAATACCATAATCTGTAAGAATTTAATGTTAAGAATTAATCTAAGTCTGCCTGAAATGCCTAGCCATGCTAGGTGTCCTAGTGGCTCCCTCTGTAATTAGTATTTTATAATATGTAAACCACACAATACCCAAAACCTGTAAACCCCACATTGTAACCCTTATAGAGAATAAACTTGAATTTGAAGATTTGGTTGATGTCCGCTTGGAGTCTTGCAGTGTCTTCGATGGAGGTCACTGCCATGGAAATCCAGGTGTCATCCGCATAGGAAGACATGGAGCTATGGCTGACATCTCTGCCTATGTCAGAAATGAGGAAGAGGAATAGAATGGGAGCAAGTACTGTGCCTTGTGGAACAGAGCTTTTCACCGTGGCTGCCTGGGACTTTACTTTGTTTACTGTTACTCTGTGTTCTATTTGTCAGGAGGTTATAGATCCATCTACCAACTTTTCCTGTTATTCCTTTATCACGCATTTTGTGTGCTATTACACCATGGTCACACTCGTCGAAAGCTTTTGCAAAGTCTGTGTATACATCTGTATTTTGTTTATCCTCAGCAGCATCCAGGACCTTGTCATAGTGGTCCAGGAGCTGGGACAGGAAGGAGCAACCTGCTCTAAACCTGTGTTGCCCTGGGTTGTGCAATTGATGGGTATCTAGGTGGTTGGCAATCTTGCTTCTTAGAACCCTCTCAAAGATTTTTATGTGGGATGTTAGTGCTATCAGTCTGTAGTTCTTTGCAATTGCTTTACTGCCATCTTTGTGGAGTGGGGCTATGTCTGTTGTTTTTAAGTATGTGTGGGATGACCCCTGTGTCCATGCTCCCTCTCCATAGAATGCTGAAGGCAACTGATAGGGGCTTCTTGCAATTCTTGATGAACACGGAGTCCCATGAGTCTGGGCCTGGGGCAGAGTGCATGGGCATGTCATTTATTGCCTTTTCAAAGTCTTGTGGAGTAAGGATAATATCTGAAATTTTTGATATGACCAAATTTTGTGTTTCATTCATAAAGAATTCCTTTGGATTGTTGACCCTTAGTCTGGGTAGCGGCTCACTGAACACTGAGTCGTATTGGGACTAATATCTCGCTCATTTTTTTGGCTGCCATCTGTGTATGTCCCATCCTGCCTAAGCAGGGGCCCAATACCGGATACCTCACACAAACATCCCAAATTTCAGTGAGAAATTAAAGTCACTAATAACAAACAGACAAATGAATAAGCACCACCTTCTCTTAGCTGGAGACTTCAACATCAATCTTGGCTTACTAGATGATCAGCCTGTAACTGATTTCATCAACAATATGAACAACACACTTCTCATACCAACAATAACTAAATCAACCAGGCTCACTGAGACAAGTGCAACCATAATAGACCACATATGGACCAATATACTAGCCCCCCTTAAATCAGGGATAATCACAGATAGCACTACAGACCACTACCCTACCTTCCTCCTAATATCAACCTTGACCTTAAATGCTTTCTTGATAGTTGTGACAGAACCCACAGGCATAACACCAGAAACAAACATCTCTACGACATTCCCCGTGTCCGACTAAACCTTTACAAAAATTCTATGTATGTCAAAGGCCCTAAAATCTGGAATACCCTACCTGAGAACTCTAGAAATGCAGACACATTCATCACCTTCAAAACTACCATTAGAAAACATCTTATCTCCCTGATACACCCCGTCAACTAACTTCACGAATACCACCTGGTGGTTCACACTTACACTCGCACACTCATTTGACCATAAACAGAAATATTAATCTCAGTCTTAATATAATGAATCCTGTGATACTCCAATACTGAAACTATATACTGTGCCAAAACAAAAGCATTCACACTGCTAAACTCACAAAATAGTATTTAGTCACTTAGCCATAATACCAACTTACCTCATAATTTGTAATATTTTACATTTAAGAATAAAACTAAGTATGCCCGAAATGCCTAGCCATGCTAAGCGTTCTAGTGGTACACTCTGTAATCTCAATTTTACTACATGTTAAACCAAACAATAACCAAATTTCTGTAAACTCAGCATTGTAATCCTTATAGAGAAAGAGAATAAACTTTGAATACTGGATGTTGTTTTTCCCTTAGATTTGTCATAAGAGAAGAAGTATTTTGTTATTTTTTTCAATTTCCTTTATGGCTTTTAGTTCTTCCTGAGATTCTTGTCTCCTGTAAGATTCCTTCAGCTTAAGTTTGATATTTGTAATTTCACTGACCAGTGCCTCCGTTCGTATTTCAGATATATTGGCCCCTCTCAGTAGCTCTGCCTTTTCGCCTTCATCTGTATAGGGAGCGTCTCTCTCTTTCTAGTTTACATATTCTCTTTCTTTTTCTTAATGAAATGTGTCTTGAGCAGATCTCAAGAACCACAGAGTTCATTTTTTCTAGGCAAATGTTCGGATCCGTGTTGTTTAGGATATCTTCCCAGCTTGTTTCATTTAGGACATGGTTGACTTGGTCCCATTGTAGGTTTTTGTTATTGAAACTGAATTTTGTGAAGAGACCTTCATGACTGATCACATTTTGCTGGTCAGGAGCCCTGTGCATACATGTCTGTACCTCTATTATGTTGTCATCTGAGTGTATTGTCTTTGATATGGTTATATTACGTATCAGATCGTCATTGTTAGTGAAGATGGGTTCCAGTGTATTTTCTAGTCTTGTAGGCTTAAATATTTAAGGTGAATTTGGTGCAGAGATTTCATAGTTCGTGTGTGTGTTTATGTGTGAATTTTTATCTGAGCTGCCTCCTGGGGTGATCTCTGCTAAAATATCGTTTGCTATACTCCTCCATTTTAGGTGTCTCAAGTTGAAATCTCCTAGTAGTAAGATGTTTAGGACAGGAGTTGGGAGATTTGCCAGACAGTGGTCAATTTTCAAAAGCTGCTCTTGGAATTGCTGGAGAGTTGCATCTGGAGACTTTTATACAACCACAATGACAAGGTTTAGGTTTTCAGTCTTTACCAAGACTTCAACCGCATCATTTGAGGTGTTTAGTAGTTCTGAGCAAATGAGCGACTCTGTGACGTACAAGCCAACCCAGTCCCCCTTCTTGCCTGTTTAGTCTGTCGCATCTGAATAGGTTATAACCTGGGATCCATATTTCGTTGTCATAATGATCCTTTATGTGGGTCTCTGTGAATGCTGCAAACATTGCATTTGACTCCGTGAGCAGTCCCTTGATGTAAGGAATTTTGTTGTTTTTTGATGGCTTTAGACCCTGTATGTTAGCAAAGGCAAATGTTGTTATATTGGTGGAATTTAGTGGGGCTTTATTTTCTTCCTCTAATATCTGTTGTTCTAGAGTGGAGGCCAATGTCCATGCCTCTGCTCCAGAAGTCTTTTCAGTTGGTGTAGGATAATTGTCATTTCTTGCCAGTCTTTTTTTCCCTCTTGGCCCTGAAAAAAGCTCTGTCCCTAGAGGGGTTGTGGCTCCCCTCATTTGTTTCCCATAGACTGGCTGGTATGTGTCTTCTTGTCCCCCTTAGATGATGTGCCTGGCAGTATGCATTGTAGCATTTTCTTTTATGGATTGATGAGTGACACATTTCTGGGTGAAATAAGTTACAGGAGGGGAAGTTGCACTCTCCTGTTGCCATGTGGGTGTGGCATTTTTTGGGGTAGTCAAAGGTGCATGTCCCACCTGTTTTACCACTGAGTAGTGAAACTCTCGAAACTCTTCAAAGGTACATCAAAGGTAAAGGTATACCAGAGCATTCATCATCCTCAGTTGGCATTTGTCATGCTCTGAATCAAGAAAATCATTCATAACACTATCTAACCCATTGCTTCATCGCCAGATGCTCGCTGAAGCACTTTGAGAGTTTCACTAGCTTTGAACAACAACTCAGACACACACTGCACTTTCAACTATTTCAGTCTGTTACAAAAAAAATTGCAACAACGCACTGACAACACGACTAAAATGCCCATTGAACCTCAGTGGAATGATGACTGCACTGAAACTGGCTACACTACTTCACAAAGGAGTGTACTGCACTTTGATGTACACTGCTACTATATTTCAACCAGGAAGTGCACGAAAGTTCACTTGATAGCACCTTGTATACACTACAGTACTGTATCATGTTTGCATCTGATAAACATTTCTGAACACTTTGGGGTAATGCTGCAGATAAGTCAGTTACAGCTGATGACTTCAGTGACTGTAGTTATGGTGCCATTAGCTGTTCTGCAAATGTTTCAGAGAAGTGACTTAAATTCACCTTCCTCAGATAACTGTAACAACAATAGGGTATGGTGACACTGTTCCCAGGACGTGGATGGGAAAAATTGTTGCCTCCTGCTTCAGCGTTTTTGCTATATCATTCTTTGCACTTCCTGCCGTAAGTATATCATTCATCTCTTCTTAGCGACGTGGTTATATGATTTACCTATAGAAATATGAACATGTACACAAATATTTCCTTTGAATTTTTTAATTAAACCCTTATGTATTGGCCAAACTGTATGGAGGTTCTGGGATTTTCCTTGTCTTCCTGTTTAGTACTTTTCTGTTAAGAACTTTACTGTTTAGTGTACAGACTCTGCAAATAATGTTAGGTCACAGCCAAATTGCAAAAGAATTTCTAGTAACATAAGATAAAAGTCTTAAGAAAAAATAAATTTCTTATGCTCCCGTGTAATTTGATTACCAGTTTCAGGCATTTAGGAATTGAATTAGAAAGTCACATCCATTTCTTGAATCCATTTTCTATCTCTTCAGTCAAGTGTAACACTGATGTGTTTTTTGGAATAGGGCTTTACTTTCATTTCACTCTTAACAATTTTCTATGGCATTCAGGTCAAGGATGTTCCTGGACTCATGGATAACATTGATATTGTTCTCTCAAAGAGCCATGAATTTACGATTAATCCTCAGATGAACCAAGAACACCAGGGATTTTTCAACTAGTTGAAATCTTCTTCCTAAGCAAACCCCACAACTTGACCTTGACAAATATTAGCATGCTCAGATCAATTACACCTCATCTATGATCATTACATGTATATTTTCACACTTCCCATTGACTTGCCATAGGCTTGAAAAAATGTGTGATTGTTGCATCTACCTATATGCAGCTATTTGTGACTATTGCCGAATGTGCAGTACAGTAGTATACGTACAAATGTTCCTCGACTTACAAGGGTTCGACTTGTGATATTTCGACTTTACGATGGTGCAAAAGCAATTACTTAAGAGATGAAACTCAGGGTAATTACCCAGCATGAAGGTGGCAAGTCCGTAACTTGTATTCATTTATTTACTAATCAATACTCATATTTAGTTAGCTACAGTAATTATTTGATATATTTATCATATCACATTATTTTCGACTTACAATGTGGTAACATTGGAACAAACCCATCATATGTCAAGAAGCACCTGTATATGAAGTGCCCTCAGATGCACCTTGATATGCTGTACTTGTTTTTTCAGACATAGTTCGTGACTGCTTTTTACTATCACCTGTTCTTCCACAGGGTATCCTGGGCTCTGGGTTTGCACTCAAAGTGCAGCAGAAGCAGCGCCAGAAGCACTTCAATCGGCAAATCCCAGCAGCTGCCATGTTGATCCAGTGTTTGTGGCGATGCTATGCTGCTGATAAACACTTCAATTCAACAGCTACATGGCAGATTCACATGAAAGATCCAAATACCAACAATAACTCTCAGTCGACGCCATTAAGCAAGGTGTGTACTTCAATTTCTTCAGCTAAGAATTAATTTTTTTTTTTCCGAGTTCTATTACAGCTTCTTAGTATTAGGGCTGTGTTAGTATTAGGTATTACTTTTAGAAATTTTATAATGAAATTTGCTGTACTTACTGACACCAAATTTGAGTTAGTTTGCAATGAGATCAAGCTTTTCTTTCACTGACAGAAATCTGCAGAGTAAAGAAATAAGATCATTAACTAAATTAACCACTAGATTTAGTGGAACTTAAAATGAACTCTGTCATTGTACACTATACTTTTTTTAACAATTCAGATTTATCTTGAAATAAATCAGTTTAGAATAGAGTATCTTAATCTTTGATGCCTGTTAGAATGTAGAAAAGATAAAATGATAATCAAAGTTTTTAAGATGATGCTCCTTAGACTTGTTTAGTTGAAAGCACATAATATTTATGGCATTTGTTGCTGTAGAAATATAACTTTATGTATGCATGATGTACTTTCAATTCGATCAGAGTATTTACGATCATTCTCTTTGGTTCGCTTTTTTTGGGGACTAATTTTTTTTAATTGTAAATGTGCATATAATTTTTATTTTTCAAGTGAAGTATATTTATAAGAATGCATCCTACAGATGATCAGTAATTTGCATCTTGCAGTTTAACTATCATGCCAGATATTAACAAACTAAAAAGTATGCTCTTCTCTTATATAAATGTTGTCCAAAAGATAGTTATAACAGATTTACTGAACGTAATATAAAATTTCAAGACTTGTGCTTATGAATTAAAGTTTATTTATTATATCTTACTGTTACTGCTAATGTCCTTGCAGGAGAGTTCTCTGAATACACCACTAAGCAAGGTGAAGTATTGTTGTAACCCTGGACACCATAGCAACCCTCCCCCCTTTCATTTTGTTTATCCATAGTCTAAACTATTGCCCTTTGCAGCAAATACACATTCATTTCCCCTTCCAACATTATGCAGTTTAAACGTTTTAGTGAGAAAATGTAGTCAGAATTTTGCGTAGCACAGTTTATTTTAATGCAGTGTGGGAAATGTATGACTTGTGAAATGAAAGAACACAAGCTTGTATTACAAATATTAGTATAGTACACACTAATACTGATAATGTATTTTAAGTGTGAGATACAGTCCTATTATTAGTGTCGTTTGTGGCCTTCGATGTATAAATTTGTTATATTTTAGTGGAAAAGCGCAAATGTATGCATGTGCATGAATATATGTGTATGAATTGCTTTCTAGTCAGTAAAACACATATAGGCACATGAGCCTGGTATATACATGTTAGGGCTTAATCCATGTTGTATCTATGGCATATTTGAAAAGATTCTTGGTCACTTAGGTATGCAGTTCTGTACCACCAGTTTAGCACTCATACATTTACATCCTCCAGAAAAAACATGCTCTGAAAAATTTAATATTACCTGAAAAATGTTTTGTGGGACACCCTAAATGGTGCTCCATACTGTAGCTCCATATGTAGTCTTTAAGACTGTCCTGGCTGTAGAGGAATTTATCTGAAAATATGCCATGTGAAGACTGTACAGATCATAATTTTTTCAAGTACGGCACCTTGTAGTACAGTGACATTCATCTTATGCTGTGATCCTCCTAATTAAAGGAGGCTCCCTGTTGATGGTCAGAGACTTTTGATCTGAGGAATTTGATTTCTCATGCAATTTATCGAGTCAGATATCATTACCTCCCATTCCTCAGGCACTGTGTGACCCTAGTGGGTCTATCACTTTTCACTAAGTATAATAATAATCATGCTGTAATCATGGCATGGAGTATCAACTATACATTGGAAAGGCATTGTTCATTAGATTCCAACAACTTTATATCTTCCAAGTTGATTTCTTCAAATTCAAAGTTCCTGGCATGGTCCATGATGCTTCTACATACATTTAGAACTCCATGCTGTGTATCCTGGAAGACATTGATGAATCCAGGTTATAGTTTCCTATACACTGATTTTTTTTTTTTGTTTTTTTCAACCGCCCGTATCCCACCAAGGCAGGGTGGCCCAAAAAGAAAAACGAAAGTTTCTCTTTTTAAATTTAGTAATTTATACAAAAGAAGAGGTTACTAGCCCCTTGCCCCCAGCATTTTAGTCGCCTCTAACAACACGCATGGCTTATGAAGGAAGAATTCTGTTCGACTTCCCCATGGAGATAAGAGGAAATAAACAAGAACAAGAACTAGAAAGAAAATGGCAGAAAACCCAGAGGGTTGTCTGTATATATATGCTTGTACATGTATGTGTAGTGTGACCTAAGTGTAAGTAGAAGTAGCAAGATGTACCTGAAATCTTGCATGTTTATGAGACAGAAAAAAGGACACCAGCAATCCTACCATCATGTAAAACAATTACAGGCTTTCGTTTTACACTCACTTGGCAGGACGGTAGTACCTCCCTGGGCGGTTGCTGTCTACCAACCTACTACCTAGACACTGATTCTTATGGTACTAATTCAGCCTAGGATTTACCCATGCTTGAAATTATTTTCATGAAGCTTGGCTACAGGATAAGCTGTTTAAAACAGTCAGTTATGGTAATTTCTCTAGAACTCTGTAATTGTTGACTTCCTTGCATCATTATTGTCTGTTCTGTGGCAGTGCTTTTCACAAATACTAACTTTTCAATGTGGCTGTAACACCTTGAAAATTGGCTGAATCAAGGACATCATGTTCTTTATTTTATCAAAGAAAAATTGCACTTATCTTACCAACATGCCATTACTCAACTCCACTTACAAAGGCAACTGCCTCTTGTCTTCTACTCTTTATCATTTACCGCTATATTAGTAACTTGCAATAATGTCCATTTTACAATGGAACAGTGATACAGGGGTAATCAAGGAGAACTCATATGCTTTCCTGATTTTTCCCTGTATGCATTGGTTTTCAAGAACCTAAACTCCTAATACATTTGGTCTTTTTACCTCTAGAGGTGTACTCTTACATTCACCAGACTTCCTGATGATTCCTAAAGTTAAAGTACACTTCTGTTACATAATGATGTCCCATAGTCACAACTCTCCATTCATTCTTCTCTTCAGTATACTGCAGCTCTTGTCTCTTTGGACAAATTGTATCTTCTCCCTTATGTCCTTTGTCTAAATTTAATCTGCAGTGTTTATTTTCAGAATTACCTACACTGCTTCTTCTGTCAAGAGATTTTAATGCTCATCAATCGTTTAGGGAAGGGTCACATTGCGACTACAGTTAGAGTATTTTCTCACATCAATTCTCTTACAAATCTCAGTGAGAATCTACTTAAACATCACACATTTCAACCCTTGGACACTTACTTTTTGTGTGTAGATTGCTTTATCTAGTCCTCCTCTAGATTTTGGTTGGGCAGTAATAGATGATTTACATGACAGCGATCATTTCTCTATTCTTATCTCTTGTTCCTACATTCGCATCCCTCACCAAGCTCAGTGGCAATTCAGATGTGTGAGCTGGGTATTTTATATACACTTCTTTATCTCATCTTGCACCTGGTTCATCCATATGTAAACTATTACATTTCTTTGTTAGCTCAGTGCTCTCTGAAGCTGCACTCAACATTCCTCTGACCTCAGGTAAGCATTTTCAGAAATATGTCCCATGTTGAGTTTGTCTGTGCAATTCACCCAAAATGAGCTGTATGGAGTCGCTATCAGTACAGGAATACCAGACAGTGTCTATCTTACAAACAGGAGAGAGGAGAAAGACTTTAGGACAACTAATGTTTAAGGCTGCAAGTTCATATTAGCTAAAGTGTAAGACTGTAAGTCTACATTGTTTTTTTTTCCACATTCATAAACAAGAGGTTTACCTGGAGTTTACCTGGAGAGGGTTTTGGGGGTCAACTTGCCTGTGGCTCGGTCTGAGACCAGGCCTCATGGTGGATCAGGGTCTGATCAACCAGGCTGTTACTGCTGGCCACATGCAAGCTGGCATACAAACCACAGCCTGGTTGGTCAGGTACTGACTTCAGGTGCCTGTCCAGTGCCTTCTTAAAGACAGCCAGGGGTCTATTGGCAATCCCCCTTATGTATGCTGGGAGGCAATTGAACAGTCTTGGGCCCTGGTGTATATAGTAAAAGCTCTCATTAATTGTTCAATATATTTGCACACACATTAAAAATAACTGTATCATGCAGTCTTTAAGAATGAAACAAATTGCATTTAAAGTACTAACCTCCCCTTATAGGGACATACCAATGCCTAGAGAATGGGAGGTAATCAGATGACAATGACGATGTTTATTTCCTTGTAAAGCTTACAATGTGTGGTTTACATGTTATAAAGTATTAATTAAAAAGAAAACCACTAGCATGCCTAGGCATTTTGGGCAGACTAATACTGATTCTTACTCTATATGTGATCTAAGGGGAGAAGAACTCTTTGTTGGATCAGGAGCCCTTTACCAGTCTCAAGGTACCCATTTCCTTCCCACTGAAGGAGAAATTGAATCACTTTTAACTGAAAATTTATACAAGTGATATTCAGTTACTATGTTGAATTATTGATGCTGTTAAACCATCAGCACATATTGTTAATTATTGATGATGTTAAACCATCAACACACCTTTCTTTCAACACACACTGTTAATTATTGATACAGTAGACCCCCAGTTTTCGTAATTAATCCGTTCCAGGTTGACCGAAATCTGAAATGGCCGAAAACCAAAGTAATATCTCCCATAAGAAATAATGTAAATCCAATTAATCCGTTTCAGACACCCAAAAATATTAACAAAAAATACATTTTATAGAGAATAACTGTAGTTTTACATACAAAAAACAATGAGAAATAAATATAAATGACTAATTTTAATGATAAATGAACATTACATACCTTTATTGAAGACTCTCGTTGGTGAGTAGTACAGTGGACCCTCGACCAGTGATATTAATTCGTTCCTGAGAGCTCATCGTTAGTCGAAATTATCGTTAATCGAGTTAATTTTCCCCATAAGAAATAATGGAAATCAAATTAATCCGTTCCTGACACCCCAAAGTATTGAAAAAAAAAATTTTTTACCACATGAAATATTAATTTTAATACACACAAACTGAAGTAGACATGTACAATTACATGACACTTACCTTTATTGAAGATCTGGTGATGATTGATGGGATGGGAGGAGGGGAGAGTGTGGATGGTGTTAGTGTTTAGAAGGGGAATCCCCTTCCATTAGGACTTGAGGTGTCAAGTCCTTTTCCAGGGTTACTTCCCTTCTTTTAATGCCACTAGGACCAGCTTGAGAGTCACTGGACATCTGTCGCACAACATATCTGTCCATAGAGCTCTGTATCTCCCGTTCCTTTACGATTTGTCTAAAATGGGCCACAACATTGTCATTGTAATAGTCACCAGCACGGCTTGCAATAGCTGTGTTAGGGTGATTTTCATCCGTAAAGGTTTGCAGTTCAACCCACTTTGCACACATTTCCTTAATCTTTGAAGTAGGCACAGTGGATTCCACAACTAGCATAGGCATCTCAGGGTTAGCCCCAAACCCTTCAAAATCTTTCTTAATTTCCATACTAATTCTCACCCTTTTTATCACAGGGATGGCACTAGAAGCTTTCTTAGGGCCCATGGTGACTTATTTGCAGGTGCAATCACTAAAAACGCTGTGATAATATGAAATGTTCCAATTGTATGTTTGGATGCGACCGCGGTGGCTGGCTTGTAAACACTGCGCAGGCCACACGTGGACGTGTCTCGAACGGAACGAATCGTGTTGGTCGAGGCAAAATTTTTGCGCTAAAATGTATCGCTAGTAGGATTTAACGTTATACGATGCCATCATTGGGCAAGGGTCCACTGTATTTATTTGTAGTCCCAGGCGGACTGCATGCCAGTGTATACCTATCGGCTACATACACTACGGCTTGCAGCCATATTATTACCATCGACATACTATGTTCACTGAATTTAATCGTTTCTAACAACTACCTTTAGATGCCATCATAAATAAAGCGAGAAGTAATGAATAATTCATGCCGAGAATTGTAAACAAAAGCTTATGTATTAAGGGTGGTTCGTGGGCCAACCCAGATTCATACAGTTTTCTCTAATGCTGGACCAGAGAAAATGAAATGTTTACCCTCCACCGCATATAAACATTGCATGTTTATATGCTATGTAATGTGTTTCTTACATAATTTAAAACATATAATAGATGGATTAATGAAGATGTCTATATTAAACTAAAATAAGACATTTAATATGCCAACAGTGATTATTATGTAATATTATGTTGTTGAAAAAAATTAGTATTACTATGGCTTTAAGACTAGAGGGACACTGAGTGAATGAGTAACACGTTTATATGCTATGTAACGTGTTTCTTACATAATTTTGAAGAAAATATCATAGATGGATTAATGAAAATGTCTATGTTAACTTAAAATAAGACATTTAATATGTCCAAGAGTGAGTCACCAATGTATGAGAAGCCCAAGCGCACACGTCTGGTACAATTTCTGAGGGAATGTATGAAACCTGGGGGGAAATTTTGCCGAAAAAAGTGCTCGAAACTCGAATTGTGTGATTTCCTTACTGGCTGAAAACCAGGGGTCCGCTGTACTGTTAAACCATCAGCACATTGTTAATTATTAATACTGTTAAACCATCAGTACATTGTTAATTATTGATACTGTTACACCATCACCACATAGTTAATTTAACCCTTAAACTGTCCAAACGTAGATCTACGTTTTTTCAACATTTGAAAGTATGTAAAAAAACGTAGCTCTTCTTTTTGTTTTTTTTACATTTGAAAACGTGTAAAAATAACTTTGATCTACGTTTTTTTTTTTGTTATATTTGAAAATATGTAAAAAAACATAGATCTACTTTTGGAGCACTACGCATGTGAACATAGATCTGTTTGGACAGTTTAAGGGTTAATATTTTCACAACTAAGAACATTAGGAGACCACATTTGTTTATTATATTACATTGATATTAAATATACTTATGAACTGCACAAGTGTATGAGCATCTGTTATAATTAAATTTGATTGATATAACTTGCAAAGGCCTTAAATTTTGCATTTTCAAAATTTCTCTCAGGCATATGCTTGTTGATTTATGCATGTTTGGAAGATGCCTTCTTCATTGCTCATTGCTTTAATTTGATTAGTAGATAAACCTACTGAGAAAAACTACTCTAGTAATTCAGTGAATGTATTGTAGTGTATTTCAGTAACATTCTTATTAGAAAAGTAATTTATGCTATAATTCAGTAATATTGCCTGTCTTCATATATTGCTGTCTCATATATTCTCGTAATACAAATATTTTTTGTATGTACTGACACATTGCTGATAAAAAATCGAACATTAATAGTAAATACTTTTCAGTTTCACTGTAAAGGATTGCCTAATTTTGAATTTCTCCTCTAGATGGCCAAGAGAGCAAGTGTTTTACGGAGAAGGAAATCCAAAAGCAAGATGGATGTTTCATCAGCTCCTGAAAGCTCCAGCAGACGAGACAGCGAAGGCGACATGGTCTTCTATGTTGAGGAACCTAGGGCAGGTTTGTGAAATATCAAAAGGAAATAGCTTTTAAGGAAGATATAGAGGGGCAGGGAGATGGAAGAGATACAGGCAAGAGATAAGATGTTGATATAGGGTAGGACAGTAAAGCCTCCTATTGTGATAGGAAACCTTGATGTTGATACATTATGATTGTCTTTGTGCATACCTTACTAGTCATGCCTCATTGTACATGTCTTTGCTCCTTGTTAATTTACTGAATGTTCTCAAATCATTATCAACCATGAGCTGTGTTTATGTAAGGATTTAATCCAAGAGATTTAAAAAAATTTACTCAAACCATCTACCTAATATGCAGTTTTACAGCACTTAGACTTAGTGTTACTTTTATTTAGTTTGATTTTTCCATCATCACACTTTACTCTTTGAAATCCAAGTTTGTACTAACAAGATTTACACAGACTACTTGTGACAAGAGTGTCTGCATTTCAATTTTGGCTACTATGCAATATGTGTTGATGTAGGCCCATGTAGTGCTTGTTTAGCTGTGGTTGAGCTAAGACAGTGTAGCTGGTGCCTTCCATGTCTCAAGCCTTGTATTTACCCACACCGAAAGTCGTGAGAGCCTTGTGTGTTGTCGCAGCTCGATTCTGTAATCAAGTGTTATGTCCCTGTTGCAAGGCTTCCACCAGCCGCCTGATGCCTCACTCCCGCCCCACTCGTCCTCACCTGCTATAAAAAGAGAGGGCAGCAGCACCTTTTTGACATTTTTTTCCTGTGTATATAGAGGTGCAGGGCGGGTGTAGGAATGGGCGTGCTGGTGTGGCGTAGTTTAGCGCCAGCGTGTATTGATGTGGTGTGGTGATGTCATCTGTTGCATGTGTGTAGAGGAGGTGGCGCGGCGATGGTCGTCCATGGCTCGCCTGAGGGGCATGCTCGGGTGTGTGTCGCCCATCACGGAAATACCAGTGGCACCGCCCACCACCCATCTGGGCAATCCTGGGCGGGTCAGGGGATTGTCTAGGTCTCGCAGCTACGAGTGTACTGGTAAGTTGTGTACTAGATGGTATTGTGCCCAAATAAAGCAGGATAGAACAGGATTATAAAGTACTTATTTTAATGCAGTTGTATTAAATAAGAATAATATTTGATATGTATTTAATAGTGTTGTATTTTCTTTTAATATAGCAGTTAATTTAGCTTAATGTGGAGTTAATACATACATAACATCTAAAAACAGCTTTTATTATTTTTATTCAGTGGTGTAATTGAATAATTACATACAGTGTTACTTATCTTCTGCTCTGTCCTACCTTGGCAGTTTGTGTTGTATGTAGCCAGTAGTCGGTGGCAGCAGCTGTAAAGGAATTAGTTGATAGTATTTCAGCATATTGATCACTGGTGATGTTGCACAGTATAATATAATGCTTCTTATATACCTACATAATATCATTTGATTTTTATGATTGACAATGATTAATGCTTAGCAGTTAACCCTTTAATTGTGTGCAACAAGAATTTATGCAGGGCACCAACCCATGGGTGATGAATATTTACACGTAAATATATATTGAGCCATTTTAGGCCTCAGCTTAGCTGTTTAGGTCACCTACCTCCCCCTTGTAACTATGAAAAAAAATGTTGGCCTATGTGGGTCTACACAGTGCATCATGGGTAACACTTGCTTTGGTAGTGCACATACGTCAGAGGATTTTGTTGGTAGGAGACATCTGTACCGGCAAACAGTGTATGCAACTAGCAGGAAGATGCCTTATTTGCCCTAAATTTATTACAGTTTATTACAATTTGTAACAGAGAGGACAGGAAGTTATATTGTTTGACGTTATTGGGTTATCCTAGGTTAAATCTACATACATACATACTGTACTGTTCAATAAGATCACAGTAAACAGGTGATAACACAATTTGCAGAATAACCACTGTGAAAAAATTGTGAAATTCCAAGTCCTTTTGTGATTTCTCACATTATCAAGGAACTATATAGTTCCTTGATAATATGAGAAATCATGAAAGTGCTTGGAATTTCACTATTTTTTTTCTCAGTAGTTATTCTGCATACAATACTGTATTATGATTTTTTGTGCCCATAATACCTTTGTGCTCTTGAGACCATTGTAAAGAATATTTGTATTTTAAATACAGTATAAACTTTCTCTTCTAATCATCTTTATTATTTCCAAAAAATTTTTTGTTGATACTTAATATTTATTTATTTATTTATTAATTTGAACATGATACAGTGAAGTACAAAAGAATACAGTAAAATGCAGCATGCCAAAGCCACTTGAATGCATAGCATTACGGGCAGGCTTAAAATATTATTGCAACTTGAATGAACACTTATTGACAGTAGAGACACTACTGTTGCAGAGATATACAGTACCTTCCTTTTCCAATACTAATCTTAATGCCATTATTTTTTCAACACTGGCCATTTATCATCAAGGTATCATGACCTGAAAAAAAAAAAAAAAAAAAAAGACACTTTCACCATTACTTACTCGTCAGTTTTACCAGGTGTGTGCCAGTGTTGCAGCTTGGATGCCCCTCCACCCAGCAACATCCCACTCCTCTTTCAGAGTGCAGGCACTGTACCTCCAGGACTTAAGTTCCTTCATAAATGTTACCTTGCTCATTGTCCAACTTTCAAAAAATAACATATCATCCCCATGCTTGAGTGCTAATTCACCTTCAAACATCTAATATCATAAGAAATACGTATATTTAAATAGTGTCAAATATTGGAAATAAAAAAAAAGGTTAAAAATATTCAATTTGGCATCTGTAAATTGAAGAGGCTCAGTACAGATATGCATAGTTATGCTGCTGTTGCTGCAGACTGATCATTTTTCACCACCTTTAACATCACATACAACTGTTAGTTTTCCCTTGATTTAATTTTTCTTCTCAGTTTTATTTAGAAATTATGCTCTTTAAAACTTTTTTTTTTTTTTTTTTTTTTCTTCAAAATTTCCCCACACAGGAGGTAGCTAACAATACACAACCTGCTACAGTTTAAGGATTAATTGAGGCATTAAATGTTTTAATTAAAAGAATATAAACATTGCTTATATAAAAAAATCATAATTGCTAATTGAACTGATGCTGATAATACTGCAACATAAAACAAGCTATATTATTTCTATAAATGATATGCAGTGGTCCCAGTGAAGCTTGATTTGTTAATTTTCAAAATTGCATCTTTTATAGCATTTCAGAGGTGAGACAATTTTTGTACCTAACATTTTTGTAAATCTTTATAAAACATATGTTGTAATGTCTGTGAGTCTGTATAAATATAGAGAGACATAAATTCCTCTTTTCCCTAGTGTTAGTCCCTATACAAAAATGATGTCAGTATTTTTCATATGTTACTATACATAATAATCTAATATCTACAAACATGTAGTAGTTTCTTCTACAGAGGAACCTCTACTATCTACACTTCATGGCCATGTATACATAGCTGTAGTTGATTTTTTGCAACTAGCCAGAATTTTCTCCCAATCCCCTAAGACTATTGTAGCAAAAGACAGTACCGGGAACCAAAATGGCAGCCCTTCATCAGTAAAAATAGCATGTTTCTTGGTGATTAAAAGTTTATTTTGACTTTCATAGGGAGACACTAAACCTGTGAGGAAAATAGAAGGCAGTCAGGCTTGTTCTGAGGAAGAGTAAGGTGGGCCCAATTTCTAGGATGAACAGCCATTCAGTGGCATCAAGACATCCCCCTGAAGGAGTGAAAAAATTTAATTTCAGTGGCATAGAGTGGAGGGAGGGGAAAGGTGAGGAAGGCGAGTGTCCCGTGATAGCACGTAGGTACCTGGGTGTTAGTCGACTGGTGTGGACTGCATCCTGGGGAACAAGATTGAAGGACCCCTAATGGAAATAAGACAAGAGTCCCTGATGACACAGTGATTTTCTTGGGTTATCCTGGGCGGCTAACCCTCCAGGTTAAAAATCCAAAGAAATCTTATCTCATCTTAATTGTTATCACAATCAATGTGCACACTCTTTTTTAAACATTATTGGCACTTATTTTTCATAAATAGTGTGATCTTGGACTATGAGTAAAAGATGATGTTAATTATTGGGATAACTTGAAAGGGCACATTTATGATTTGCTTGGAGCTATAATCAAACTGAAGAAATACTTTGGAGTCTGTCATGGCCAGTTGGTGTAACAAAGATGTGGGAATAAAGCCCATGCACTGTGTGTATGACTGCTAGTGACAGTTGCTAACACACCTGCCTATGTGTGATGCAACTGGTCCTCCACCACAGAGCAGTGGGGAGGGTCTTGGGGGGGAGGGGTTTCAGTTAAGGGGTGGATGCTGTAGTAGAGATTCCACTGTAATTCCTTATGTAGAGTAAACCCTCGATTCAGTGGACCTTGATTTTCAGACTTCAGAAATATGAGACATTATTATCATAATCAAAACCAAGCACTAAACCCACACGGGTCAAGAAATATGAGACAAAATTGGCTGAGTCAGTTGATTTAGACAAAGTCTATTAGTTACAGAATTGTCTGTTATTGTTGGGATCAGGGCAAAACAGTGTCATTTCTATCCACCACGAATACCATTACCAGCTACCTGCTCCCCCACCTTTACTCCATTAAATGAAGGGTTTACTGTATTTTTTATTTCATGGGACTTTTTAATCTTCATTTTGTGTGTGTGTCAGCTTAATGATTATTTAATAAAAACTTTGCAATGATGGCTTCATAAATGAATACTGAAATATCCTGATCAGAGTAAATATATTTTAATTAATAATGATTCTGAATTTACTGTATACCAAATATTACTTATTAGTTTCAACCAATACGTAAAGAGCCTACATTACTTTCACAATTCTCTGTTCCTATTTTTAAAGTGATTTAATGAAATTATGATTTAAGTATACAAGTTAACCTCAGCTGCCTAAATTAAGTTAATAATGTTAATGCAAAGAGCCACTAAAATATGAGAAAGTTTTGTTGACTCTTTAGAAATATAAATTAATATTTACTTATTACCTTTTGGTTTAGTACAGCTAAATAAACAAAAATTATATGACTTTTCTTTCCTTCTCAACAGCAGGAACCCCAAATCGGACCCGGCGAGAGCCCAGGAGCTCTACCCTCCATAGTCAGGCATCTTCAGTGACGGAGGTAGCCTCCGATGAAATAGATCTTGACATTGATGAACCTCAGGGTTTTACCTCGTAAGTTTAATTTTGACATCATAGCTTAGCTTGAGTATCCCAGGATTTTTGAAGTGGTAACTCATAAGAGGCCTACTAGTTTAAGCCATGCTTAACTAAAGTTAGGCCTGAAATTATCATTAAGAGATAATGGTAGTTACCTCCTACTTTTAAAATCCAACTATCATTTTCTAGAAACGAATTTGCCTTCAATCTTAAAAAAATAATTTAATATTCATCCACTTAGATGCTCTTCTCCTTTGTCTCCTTAGATTGTACCAACCATGACCCTCCAGAAATGTTACTCTGTCTAATTGTTTCCCAAAGTTGTCTCCAAGAGAGCACTCAGCATTTGTCATTCAACTGCATTTCCAACCTTCTCAACTACTGATACTGTGAATAAACTTAATTTATTTTCTGCCTCAGTGGGAGATGGCCAGCGTGTTAAAGAAAAAAAAATTCTACAATAGGATTTAATCTTGCAAAGCAAACCTCCCAGAAGCCCATACCAACATCAGTAGCTATCTGAATGATAATTATCCAAACTACTCCTACTTGGCTTCTACCACAACCTCTAAAATAGCTTTATTTTTAAAATCACTAAACCATTATCTACATGAAAGCTGCACCCATTTCATTACTTTTGAACCTTTCCAGACTGTCTCAACAGAGCCAGGATAACACTCCTCCATGAAGATGATAGAACTATCATTAATAATTACAGACCGCCTTATCTACCAATACTATAAAAAGTTTAAAAAAGCAATTCCTAAGCAACTGTACTCACACTTAACCAATGTGGTTACTCCTTGCCGGTTTGGATTCAACCCCCAAAAATAGCATTAAAGATGTGATCCTAAAAATGCTCAACACAATTTATGCACCATTTTAACCCTTTGACTGTTTTGGTCGTATATATACGTCTTACGAGCCAGTGTTTCAGACGTATATATACTCAATAATTCTAGCGGCTTCAAATCAAGCAGGAGAAAGCTGGTAGGCCCACATGTGAGAGAATGGGTCTGTTTGCACCATATAAAAAAATCCTGCAACACGCAGTGCATAATGAGAAAAAAAAAACTGACCATTTTTTGGGATTAAAACGCCGACTTTGAGGTGTATTTTCATATAGTATTTATCATTGTATTCTCGTTTTCATGGTCTCACGTGATAAAATGGAAAACTTATTACAGAAATAGAGATGATTTTCATTAGTTTCACGATGAAAACGAACTTGAAATTGAGCTCAAAGTAGCGGAAATGTTCGATTTTTACCAATGTTCAAGAGTAAGCAAATCACACCACACGTCCAATACGTGTCAACTGGGGAGTCTGATATTCTTTCACTAGTGCATTGATATTATTTATACCATTTTTACAATAATGCAGTAGTCTGCATAACAGTAAATTTTCTATTTTTTGTATGAATAAAAAATCAAAATAGAAAGCAATAGTAATATAAGAGGGGCTTTGAGATGTGACTAATGAACAGAGGATATGTTATTTTAGTGCCAAGAATGTCTACATTGTTTATTCTGGACCCTATTTTGAAATTGGAATCTTTTTTTTTTAGTTAGCGTGAAATTGGCCAAATTGCCAATTTCTGACCACTTTATTGGGTAGTTCAGATTGGTAAATGGGAGGTTTCTTGTACTTAATTGATAGAAAAATGGAGTTCTACAGAAATAGCTATGAGTTTGGTCAACTGGAACAACGGAATTGGCCAAAAATAGGGCTCAAAGTCGGCAAAATCGCCGATGCGTTTATGTCGCCAAGACTGCTAACTTCACGGGAGCGTAATTCCATGAGTGTTCGACCAAATTTTGTACTTTTGGTGTCATTACCATTGGGAAAAGATTCTCTATCATTTCATAAGAAAATTTTTTTTTTTTTTTTTTTTTAAACATTTTTCGACATAGAATGAGTTTCAGAAAGGAGCTTGTGACAGTCAAAGGGTTAAAGAAAAAAATATCCTATTGCTGGTGCAAGAGGCTAGAGACCCCTTCTCCTGTATAAATTACAAAATGTAAAAGGAAGAAAAATTTTTTCTTCTTTTTTGGGCCACACTGCCTCAGTGGGAGATGGCTGGTGATACAAATATCACAATTCTGATGCAGTTGATCACAGTATTCTTTGCAGACTTAATCACCACAGAATCAAAGGAAACACATACAACTACTTCAAGTCCTACTTGATGGACATTGTGCAGTCATAAATGGCACTTCCTCAACACCCCATCTAATTAAATTAGGTGTTCCCCAAGGTAGCTTCCTGGATCCTCCTCACTTTTCTGTGTCAGCAACAAGTACCACACAGCATCTTAAGCTAAAAAAAAAAAAGTGCAGTGGTACCTTGATATTCGAACTTAATCCATTCCATTCAGATATTGAGTTGTACGAATATTGAATCAATTTTTCCCCGTAAGAAAAAATGTAAATTAGATTAATCTGTTCCAGACCCCAAAATATGACCAATTATGAAGCATTTTAAGTGAAAATATTGCTTATTTAAACCTGTATAAAAATATTTGCATGCATAAAATCATATTTGAAAACTATAAAAACAATAAATGCATGAAATAATGAAAATCTAAATGCATTTTACCTATACTAAAGAGTGCTGATAGCCTAAGACAAAACAAAAGTTTATTTTTTTGCAAAGGTTACAATGTGTGTTTACATTTCATAATTTGATTGGTATAAAGAAAGCCACTATCATGCTGAGGCATATTTCAAATATTCAATATTTTACTGTTATCAATACGAGGTAGTACAATTTATGATACAAACATACATTTTTAGGTTTCTAATAATGATTTAATGGAGAGATGTTATTGTTAGGAAAGGTGTCACCTTCCATAAAAACATCAGGTAACTAACCATCTAGTGTTTTTTTCTCCTTTCTGTCTCTGCAGTAGCACTTGAGGATTATGGGGATTCACTAGCATTTGATTTTTTCTCTTTGTTAAAGAAACTGTTTGCTTTTGATGACTTTTCAAAAAAAAAATTAAAGTAGTCAGCAACATTGTCATTGAACAGGTTGATGCTCCTATTCACAACAGTAATGTTAGGATGCCATTTTTTCACCAGGCTCTGTGTTTGAGCCCAGTAGTAACAGTTCTTAAATTTCTTCAATGGAAATGTTGCCCTTACTGCTTCCCTCTTCTAAAGAGGAAAAAATTTCCTCAACTACTACTACTACTTGCTGCTCCTTGTGCAGCTCTTGAAGTTCTTCTGTGGTGAGCTTATTCTTGTGATCCTCCACCAACTCCTCCACATCCTCATTGTCCATTTCCAAACCATGGACTGGCCCAGAGAAACAATATCCTTCACTACAGGCTCTGCCCCAGAGCCTTCAAAATCTCTGACTGACACACAGTCTGGCCACAATTTCTTTCAGGCAGAGTTCATTGTCCTTTTTCACAGCAAGAATTTTCACTTCTTTTGCCACATCAGCCCCTTTTATTGCCTCTGTTTTTCAGTATGGTCAATATAGTGGATTCTGCCATACCTTATTGAGTGGCCAGGTTCGACACACATGTTACACTTTCCCACTTTACAGTGAGTTCTTTTTTCATTTCAATTGTTGTTCTCACTGCTTTCCATTTAGGCTTGTTTCAGTCACTACTCTTTTTTTGGAGGCCATGATTACTTATCTTCAGTGAAAATATTTAAAAAACAATAATGAAACTCCAGAAAGTTTCACGGAGCGTGTATGAACGATGCTAAACGAATGAAAGCTGACAAGAGACTGAGTGCACGATGCTTTGTTTTTGTCGGACTTCATGCAGATGGACCATTTTGTTTAAGTCGAATATCAGGGCAACATCTGAATACCGAGTTGAATTTTTCTTGAAGGAAAGTTGGGCGAGAATTGAATTGTACAAATATAGGGATGCACGAATATTGAGGTTCTACTTTATGTCCTACATTTATGTACATTGTCTAATACATGTACATTTTAATTTTATTACTACTGTTGGTTGTATATTTATGCTACTTGAAATGCTATGCATAGCCAGTGGTTTTCCTTGAAAGATATAGTATTATACTGTTAACCTAGTACTGTAACTATCATATCTTCTTGAGAAATAAAGACTCTTCCCTCAGCCTAGCTGGCTGCAAGAGTAGAGTATACATCTTATGATCTGATGGAGGATCAAGCCTCCACTACTACTTGTGTTAAATGACCCACACAGGTTGTACTTCACATAAATATAATAAATGGGGAATCAAAATTCTGTCTAATTATCTAAGAATTCTCTTCCCCTTCCCTCTGAATATCCTACATTGTGTATCATTGTTAATTATTTGTCTGTATGCAAATATATATTAGTTGCAATTTTACTTTAGGAATATTCTTTATCCACAGCCAAATCTCACACCAGTATTACTCTTTCATGTTAATATCTCACACACTGTAGGACTCTCCTCCGCAGGTTGACAGAGGCACACCGAAACGCTATCAGGGCCATCAGAAAAATTAAATATTTTGTTGCAAGACGGAAATTCCAGCAAGCCAGAAAGCCTTATGATGTGAGAGATGTTATTGAACAATACAGCCAGGGACATCTTAATATGATGGTGCGAATTAAGGTAAGTGCAGTAAGGTAATATGTCATGGTTTGTGGCTAACAAACAAAACAAAATTTATATCTTTGCAAAGCTTACAATGTGTGTTTACATTTTATACATGTTGTTAGGTACAAAGAAAGCCACTAACATGCCGGGGCATTTCAGGCAGACTAATCCTAATGTGTACAGACTACTTAAGACTAGACAGGTAAAGAGTGGTAAATTTTAATTATACATTATTTTCCTTATTACAACAATGATAGTAATAAAATACTATATAGTTGTGGTGTAGTATATCGAAAAAATAAACAGCATTACAATTTAGCACAAATAACAGTAATACAATAGTACAATTATAAGTACATATACAGTGGACCCCCGGTTAACGATATTTTTTCACTCCAGAAGTATGTTCAGGTGCCAGTACTGACCGAATTTGTTCCCATAAGAAATATTGTGAAATAGATTAGTCCATTTCAGACCCCCAAACATACACGTACAAATGCACTTACATAAATACACTTACATAATTGGTCGCATTCGGAGGTAATCGTTATGCAGGGGTCCACTGTATATTAATGTTTAGTCGATAAATTGGTTGTAAACTTTTTCAGGAATTTTTGATTTGCTTGAAAATGGCTATATGATTTAGCATAGTGTTGGTATAGTTAATTTTGGGAGATGAGATGATTTTCAAGTAGAGCCCTAAATTGATTTGCAGGCAGGGGACCTTTTGCTGGTTCAGGAAATGAATTCCAGATCCTCGGCCCTTTGTGTGCATTATATTTTTGCATAGGGTGAGATGGACATGATGGACGTCGAAGAGTGTTTTGTGTCCATGCATTCTGTTGTAGCTATAGTAGGCTCAATAAGAGTGAATATTTTGTATATTCCAAGGTAGTAGGTTGGTAGACAGCAACTGCCCAGGGAGGTAGTACTACTGTCCTGCCAATTGAGTGTAAAATGGAAACCTGTAATTGTTTTACATGATGGTAGGATTGCTGGTGTCTTTTTTCTGTCTCATTAACATGCAAGGTTTCAGGTATGTCTTGCTACTTCTAGTTACACTTATGTTACACTACACATACATGAACAAGCATATACAGTGGACCCCCGGTTAACGATATTTTTTCATTCCAGAAGTATGTTCAGGTGCCAGTACTGACCGAATTTGTTCCCATAAGGAATATTGTGAAGTAGGTTAGTCCATTTCAGACTCCCAAACATACACATACAAATGCACTTACATAAATACACTTACATAATTGGTAGCATTGGGAGGTGATCGTTAAGCGGGGGTCCACTGTATATATATACACACCCCATCTGGGTTTTCTGTTATTTTCTTTCTAGTTCTTGTTCTTGTTTATTTCCTCTTATCTCCATGGGGAAGTAGAACAGAATTCTTCCTCTGTAACCCATGCATGTTGTAAGAGGCAACTAAAATGCCAGGGGCAAGGGGCTAGTAACCCCTTCTCTCGTCTAAATTACTAAATTTAAAAAGAGAAACTTTTGTTTTTCTTTTTAGGCCACCCTGCCTTGGTGGGATACGGCCGGTTTGTTGAAAGAAGAAAACTTTTGTAATAGACTGTATGTTAATAAACTGTCTTTCATATTGAATATAACATTGTTGTTAACTGCATAAAAAATCTTACTTAATACAGCCTCTCCTCACTTAATGACCAAATTCTGTTCCTAAGAGTAGGTTGGTAAGCGTATGGGTCATTAAGCGAGGAGCATACTGTACTGGTAGTGGGTTTGTGTCAACCATCTTTAGATATTTTTTTTATTTCACATTTGTACCATTTATAACATTTTTAGTATATTTTTAAATATTTATACAGTAGTGTACTGTATATTGTAATAAACAGAATAGAGGAAATCAGCTCTAATATATGTAGGTTTGCACACTAGTTGGAGAGCTGATCGTAAGCCCGAGCGGTCAGTAAATGTGCATGTCGCTAAGGGAGGAGTGACTGTAGTCTGTGTCTAGATCTTAAGTAACACTTAAGCATTGGGAATAGTTTGCCCAAAATGCATTGCATCATTAGTGGCTTCCTTTTGTGCCTACCATTATTTTATTACTTGTAAACTATACATTGTTCATATGGCATAAAGAAATAACATTGTATTGCACTGTAATTAGTCTATGTATGCATATGTGAACTTTTTCATTTAGGTACAAAGGAAGGCGGGTAGGGGTCGTCCCCAAAAAGGTTGGAGGGAGGGGGTAAAAGGGGTTTTGTGGGCAAGGGGCTTGGACTTCCAGCAAGTGTGTGTGAGCGCGTTATAAAGGAGTGAATGGAGACGAATGGTGTTTGGGTCCTGATGGGCTGTTGGAGTGTGAGCAGGGTAATATTTTGTGAAGGAATTCAGGAAAACCTGTTAGCCAGACTTGAGTCCTGGAAATGTTAAGCCCAATGCCTGCACTTTAAAGGTTTGGGATATCGGCAATTTGAAGGGACGTCTAAGCTGTTGTATCTGAGCACCCCTGCAAAGTGATTATGTATGAATGATGGTGAAAGTGTTGAATGATGATGAAAGTTTTTTTTTCTTTCTTTTTGGGTCATCCAGCCTTGGTGGGAAATGGCAGACAAGTTAATAAAAAAAAAATCATCACAAGCTATTTTTTCAACAGGAACTTCAGCGTCGGCTTGATCAGACGTTGGGCAAGCCTGGAAGCTATTTGACTGGCATAGATAAATCTGGCAATGTAAAACCCATGACCATTGGTGCAAGACTTTATAGAGTTGAACAACAGGTAACTTTTAAAGTTCATATCTAAATTTTAATATAAACTGATCTTCATGTTAATTGCCTTATGTTGACCTTATAATTTGCATTTCTGTATATTATTACTGTATTGTATTATATCCATGGGAACTAATTAATCCCATGGCATCATAGAGAACTTGGAAAATGGAAGGGAAGTTCGAATTCCTTGGATGCAAAGCCCTTAACCCCTCCCAATTCTTAAGGTTGCATTGCAATACAGAGGAATGTACCTATAATCTTCAGTTTAATTTTGCTGTTATGTTTAGATGTTTTAACTGCAATAGTCTTACTCAAGATTTTTTACCATAATCAAATATAAAATCAACATTTGGCAAAATAATTGTCCAAATTGCAACTCTGACCTCAGCTCTTAATTAGCATATTAAGGAGCATCATATATGTAGTAAACAGTAATGCTCCATATGTGTTAATTTTACAGAGAATTCAATTCAAGTTTATTCTCTACAAGGGTTACAATGTGGGGTTTACAGGTTTTGGGTATTGTGTGGTTTACATGTTATAAAATACTAATTACAGAGGGGGCCACTAGGACACCTAGCATGGCTAGACATTTCGAGCAGACTTAGATTAATTCTTAACATTAAATCCTTACAGATTATGGTATTAAGGCTAAGTGACTACATCATAATTTGTGAGTTTAGCAATGTGAATGCTTTTGTTTTGGCACAATACAAAGTGTCTATATTGGAGTATTATAGGCAAACTTATGACTAGTTAAGATTTATTATTTTAAGATTAAGATTAGTATTTCTGGGTTTATAGTCAGTGGGTGAGTGTAATTGTGAACCACCAGGTGGTTATCATGTAGTTAGTTGTCAGGGTGGATCAGGGAGATAAGATGTTTTCTAACTGTAGTTTTGAAAGTGATGAATGTGTCTGCAGTTCTAGAGTTTTCAGGTAGGGTGTTCCAGATTTTGGGTCCTTTGAAATACATTGAATTTTTGTAAAGGTTTAGTCGAACACGGGGAATGTCATAGAGATGTTTGTGTCTGGTGTTATGCCTGTGGATCCTGTCACAACTATCAAGAAAGCATTTTAGGTCAAGGTTAATATTGGAATTTAAGGTCCTGTAGATATAGATTGCACAGTAGTAAGTGTGGATGTTCTGAACAGGGAGTAAGTTTAAATCTATGAAGAGTGGGGGGGTGTGTTGCCAGGGATGGGATTTAGTGATTATTCTTACTGTGGCTTTTTGTTGGGTTATTATTGGCTTTAAGTGTGTTGCTGCAGTTGAACCCCAAGCACAGATAGCATAGGTGAGGTATAGATATATAAGTGAATGGTATAGTGTGAGAAGTGCAGTTTGCCGCACGTAGTATCGTATCTTGGAGAGGATCCCCACCGTTTTGGATACTTTTTTTGTTATGTGCTGGATATGGGTGCTGAAATTTAGGTTGTTGTCGAGGTATAGGCCAAGGAATTTGCCCTCATTATGTCTGGCAATTAGAGTGTTGTCGATCTTAATGTTAAGTTGCGCAACTCCTGCTCTGCTACCAAACATAATATAGTAGGTTTTGCCAGTGTTAAGTGTAAGTTTATTGGCTGTCATCCAAGTCGATATTTTGAGCAGCTCCTCGTTAACAATGGTGTTGAGGGTGACAAGATTAGGGTGGGAGATGACATAAGTCGTGTCATCAGCAAAGAGAATGTGTTTCAGGTGTTGGGATATGTTTGGAAGATCATTGATGTAAATGAGGAAGAGCAGGGGTCCAAGGACACTTCCCTGCGGAACTCCGGTATCAAGTGGCCGTATTGATGAGGCTGTGTCTTTAAGGGTGACATACTGATACCTATCAGAAAGGTAGGATGTAAAATATGCAAGATCATGGCCTCTTATACCATAGTGGTCAAGTTTGTGGAGTAGGATGCCGTAGTCTACCGAGTCAAACGCTTTTCTTAGGTCAATAAAAATTCCTAGCGGATATTCCTTATTTTCCAATGCTGTGTAAAGCAGGTCTAGCATTTTTATAATTGCATCATTAGTGCTTTTATTTTTCCTGAATCCAAATTGGCAGGGGTTGAGTATGTTTTGTGACATTATAAATGAATATATAGTCTCCTGTGCACGAGTTTCTCGAAGATTTTGGATAGCAGTGGTAAGTTTGATAATGGCCTATAGTTGTTTACGTCTGTAGGGTCACCACCTTTATGTATTGGTGTAACCCTTGCTGTCTTGAGTAGTGTCGGGAAAGTGCTAGTTTCTAGTGACTTGTTAAAAAGTAATGTAATAGCATGCGAAAGGACATGGGCCGCTCACTTGTACAATAATGGTGGGACGTGAGACAGATTCCCCGAGTTGTTTTTAAGTGACTTTATGATCGCGGTGACTTCTGTGGGCTCAGTTGGTACAAGATAGAAGGAATTTGGGAAATTCCCATCTAGGTAGTCCCCCGGCACGGGCATTGGTACGTGGGATTTTACTGGCGAGATTAGATCCTATGTTTGAGAAGAAGTCGTTTATCTTGTTAGCTGTATAAGTGGGATGCAGTGGTGTTTCATAAGGTTCAGTTAGAACAATATTCTTGGTTTTTTTCAGTTTGTGGGTCCCCAGAATCTGGGAAAGTGTTTTCCAGGTCTTTTTTATATCTCCTCTTGTGTCCGTGAATCTGCTGGAGTAGTACAGTTGTTTGGCTTTCTTTATTAATTTGGTGAGAACTGTTGAATATTGTTTAAAAATATCTTTGTGCATTAAGCCCTGTCTATATTGCTTTTCATATTGGTGTTTCTTATCAATGGATTTCAGAATGGTGCTGGTTAGCCATGGGCAACCAAGCCGTTTATTCGTGATCTGTTTCGTTTTTATAGGACAATGTTTGTTGTATAGTCTAAGTATTTTGTTAAGAAAAATGTCTGTCCAATCGTCAGTACCATTGGCATTAGAGAATTCTGTAGGCCAGTCAACAGTCTCTAGGCCTGCTGTGAAATTCATTATTGAGGCCTTGTCATGGAGTCTAAATGAAACTTTGTTGTATTCGAGTGGTGGCTTACTAATGTTTGTTAAGAGGAAGGTTGGGTAGTGGTCAGTAGTGCTGTCTGTGATTATCCCTGATTTAAGGGGGGCTAGTATATTGGTCCATATGTGGTCTATTATGGTTCACTTGTCTCAGTCAGCCTGGTTGGTTTAGTTATTGTTGGTATGAGGAGTGTGTTATTCATATTGTTGATGAAATTAGTTAGTCTGATCATCTGGTAGGCCAAAGTTGATATTGAAGTCTCCAGCTAAGAGAAGGTGGTGCTTGTTCATTTGTCTGTTTGTTATTAGTGACTTTAGATTCTCACTGAAGTTTGGGATGTTCATGTGGGGTATCCGGTATATGGCACCAATTGTTATAGGCGTTTTGAGTTTTTTTTACAGTAAAATTAGCAAAAATGTATTCCCAATATTCATCACTAAAGCAATTAGTGCTAATACAAGATAGTTGGTGAGAGTAATAGATTGCAGTACCACCCCCAACTTGGTATGGTTTGCAGTTGTGGTTGCTGTGTATCCTGGTAGTGGGTAGATATCAATTGTGTCCTGCTTAAGCCAGGTCTCAGTAAGAATAATGCAGGAGAAGGGTGTCTTTAGTGACACAAGGAGTGCCAGGAGGTCATCATAGTGTTTGCTTAAGGACCTGATGTTGTAGTTAAGAACTGATAGACTTTGAGCAGTGTTCAGGATAGTGCTGGCTTGTGATGCTGTGTAATAAAGGCAGTTACTTTCCAATAACTTTTGATTGTGTGTTAGATTATGGAGGTTTAGATCAGGGTCAACGTGATCATTCATCTTTTAGGTTTAAATAGTGGTTGTTTATATCCTGTATTATGTGGTGAGTTCTAATACTGATTTCTGTAGTGGTGGGAGGTTTGGATAAATATACCGCTAAAGCACTTTGGTCATATAGAGTATAGTCACTAATAAACATAATGAAATTGATATTGTCAATGTGTTGTGCTAGAATGAGCTAAAGTACAACTAGGTATAAACTAATACTATAAAAAACAAAAAAAAATTACAAGTGGCACCAGACTCACTCTTGTAATTGCACTAAGGTCTAATATAATGAATTTAGTGTTGTCTATGTATTGAGCTAGAATGAGCTAAGTACAACTAGGTATAAACTTATAATATAAAAATACAAATTAAAATGGTACTTGCAATTGCACTAGAGTCTGGTATAGGTTGTTAACAAGATCAAGAGTATAACTAGATTTAAACTGACAAAATAAAATTCACAAATTAAAGTACCAAAAGAATAATAAGTAAAAAATAACAATGGCAATGACTTGGTTATAATATGATAGTAAGATGGTAGACAGGTACACAGGTACAAAGGATAATATAAAGGTTGGAGTTGAATATACAAACTTGAAAATTTGGCAACAAAATGTTATGAATAGTATAAAATAATGATTAATGTACAAAAGTAAAATTGACTGGTAGTAAATATGGTGTTTAATAAAATTTTAGTAAGTAATAATGATTACAAAAAAAAGATTAATTAGCAAAAAAAAAAAAAGTGAAAAAGTAATGTTTATTTCAAGTATTAAATTTTAAGAACAGTTATTTGGATTCAATATTGCACTGGTATTTATACTAGAGGTTATTTGGCAGTACAAGTTATTTAAGAGTACTCTAAGATAGTAAATGTGGTATTAAAACAGGTTATGGTAATTAGACAAGTAATGGTAATTAAATGTCAAAAATGTTAAGAGTAAATTGTACTGATAGTAAAAATGGTAATTAATTATTAATTTTAGTAAGTAATATCAATTAATAGTATTTAAAAAATATGAGGTAGTAATATGGACAGAGAAAGTATCAATTCAGCTAATATTTAAGCAAACAATAGTAAATAAGAAAATTACATAAGGTGACTTATGCTTACTAGTAAAATCACATAATGAGGTAGTTGATTATTTAATTACTAAGAGATTGTACTATGAAATTTGAACAATCATGGAGCAAAACATTACAATACGTAG